GCACTCATGCTGCATAAGAGGATTTCCTGGTAACCTTGCTGAGCAAGGAAAGTTGCTCCTTCAGGACTCTTTTATGGTTTGGGAAACAAATAAAACTCTGAAAGTGTTGCCCCTTAAAGGAGGAAGGCAACGGCAAGTATTTATGTATGAAAAGTTGATTATCTTTAGCAAAAAGGATGTTCAAGAAACAAGTAAAGAAGCAGTCCTGTACAAGTACAGGAAAGATATAAAGGTAGGTTATGATTTGGTTAATTCTTAATAGTTCACATGGGTCCATTAAATGAAGATTTGAGTTGTCTCTCTCTTAATGAAATCTTCAAATTATATTTGACTGACCTGTCAAAGTTCCATGCAAGGTGGAAATTTTGCTTCAAAAAAGCTACATGCTTTCATTCTATTTAGTCCTTGATAATTACCCAACACCAGCAGTCACTACTAAGTATGAATTATTTCCCTCATGCAACAAATTATTTTGTGGTGTATTATTGAATTGAATTATTAAACACAGTGAAATGAAATATAGGTTATGACTTAAACATTGTTACAACATTGTCATAATGTACAGAATTGTTATTTGTTTGCTTGCACACTTGTAGACATGTGATGTGGGATTCACTGAAACAGTGCCAGATGCCCCTGAAAAGTTTGAGCTTTGGCGAAATGGAAGATCAGAAGTCTTTCTTTTGCAAGTGAGTAACTTTCACTGCACTTGATCTTGATGTACTCTAATAATGCTGGTCAGAACAAAATTGTTTTGGTATTTCTGTGAGGAGTAGAAGGTCTTGCTTGTAGTCAGAGAAGGGAGAGGCAAGCTGGCTAAAATGCTTCTGACAATTTAGGCTGAAGATTAGTTACTCTGAGTGTCATTGAGAGGTTTGCAGGTTCAAGCAATGCCAAGCTGGTGTTGCATTTTGCCCTGGTGGGGGGTAGGGGAGAGGGGCCACTTTTTCAAGAAGAGTGGTGTAGTCCTGATAAATTTTGAACAAGTGTTATAGAACTTGTGGGTACAGCTCATATTCCTTTTATTAAGTCCAAACCCAATAAAACATTGATGGTAACTTGTCATATGAAAAACACTGATATCACAGCTGCTATTGCTACTGGCTCACTGTTGAATGCCACCTCTCTTTGATCATATTTCAGCCTGTGTCTCTGGAAATTAAAACCCGTTGGGTGAAAGGAATAAGAAACCTTCTTCAGTCTCAGTTTGACCAAGTAAAAGGTGTGCCATAAGAATTAAGAATATTGTCCTTATTTTAGTCTTAAATTTACCTTGTGTTGTACAAGGTTTTTTTTTTGGAAGTACACTTACAGTTAAAAATCAGGGGAGAAGTATTTCTTTTTTCTTTTCTTTGATTATTACAGTGTCCTGTGGTTACAGCTCAGTGAAAGCTTGGATGAATATTAGATTTCCTATAGTGTCGCTTCAGGGGAAACTTAATGATTGGTTCAAAAAGCTATTGATGATAACCACCAGATCAACCATTCATATTGAGGGAATCGAAACATTAAACACACATTTTCAAACATAATGTGGGTTGGGGTTAAAAAAGTCATAAGCATTTACAGTGTACGATTAACTCTAGTTAACCAGTGATAATTTATCTGTCATTTTGTTTTCTTTTCAGAACAATCAACAATTCATGGTGAGTGTGTCATAGCAAAGATGTGGATAAATCTTAAATGACTGATCAATCATGTCTGATGGTTTCATGTAGCTGAATCTTTTTGTTCATCAAAGACTCTGATTTTTGTATTTTTTAGATCGTTGGAAGTCAACCTCAGCCCTGTCGTCAGCACCTACTTCAACAGAATCACAGCTAAGATCACGAAGTCAATCTTCATTTTCAATTGCATCAACTGTTGCAGCTAGCAACAACAACAGCAACAGGTTAAAATAATTACAATTATTGCTTACACACAGTGACCTATCCTTGGTGAACAATTCTTCAATAAAAACATAATGAGTGATTCTTACTTTTTCTTCTGCAATGTTAGATATTCAAACATTATGGAGAGAAATAACGCCAGTGATGACGATGATGGCTTTGATACTGATGAATTTGACTCTGACAACAGTGATGAGTCTCCCCACAATGAACCAGAACAGAACGACAGTCACTATGATGCACATACTAGCACTGAGTTTGTGGTAAATACACTTATTCTATTACATCTCATTGCCCAATTACCATTTCAAGTTTTTATAACTACTCTGTATTATGACTAATGGGAAGAACATATGGAATTGCATTTACCATTACTAGAAATTGTTGTAATTGAAAACAAGAGTTTTTAAACATAAACTGCCTGCCCTCTGAATTAAATCTCGCGTCCAAAACAATGTGGCAAAGTGTTGGAGAGATGGAGCATAATGAACACTATATTGGCAATGCTTTATTTCTGGTGGTTTTTGTAGCTGATGATTTTTTTCCAATAAATCCTTACAGAATTTGACAGATAATGACAATAAAGATCTTCCATCCAGTGGGACTAAGTATGTAGCTGTAGCTGGCTATGATGCTGTGGAAAGCACTGAGATATCTTTCCAAGAAGGAGACACTCTGGAACTGTTGAGAGTTGGACAGGAAGGGTGGTGGTTTGCACGACACCAAAGAACTGTTGAGGAAGGATGGGTTCCAGCAAGTTACTTGGATATGATGGCTGATTGATGAGCATATGATATACCTACAAGTGCTGTTCCACTCAGGAAGGCTATTATTTGTATTTCAATTATTATTTTTGTTATCAATAAAATAAATATGCCAGTAGTAAATATAGAAAATAGTGTTACTGATCAAAGTTTGTGGGAAGGAGCAAAAAGGGGCAGGAAGGGAAAAATATTATCACTGTTTTTTCACTGTCTGCTTTTTAACTTTTTGTCTCCTGACCGAGACCCTTGCAGAGGTTCGCAGTTAGGTTTCAAATAGGTAAATATAGCTTGTGTAAATTTAATCAAGGTATAGCTGGTCTGTACTATGAATTAAATCACTAACTGTTTATTATCTTCAATTATAATTGTAGAGTTGAATATAAATGCAATGTGGGAAAAATTTAAAGGGTAAATATTTATTAGAGATCACTTATTCTGCCAAAAATCTCAATGGTAATCCACTAACATACAAAGTTTTTAATTATCTGCAACATCTTGACCCTTTAACTCCCAAGATCCAAATTCTAATTCTCCCTACTGAGTGTCAAACTTTTCCTTGTAAAATGGACTGCAGAATGTGGTTTCAATATCACCCTCCAGCTGATGAGCTTACCTGTTCTCAAACCCTATTTACGATATAACTTAATGGAATTGTAAGAAGTTGCATGTGTATTACTTTTGGGTGTGAAAGGGTCAACTTGGCAATGGGGTTATGTTTAAAGTGCTTGTGTTGATAGGCTGGGATGTATGTAGTAAATAGTGTGTTCAGGCTGACAGTCCTTACAAATTACTGTATCCATGAATGTCCGTCACAAGTATTACTTTAAATCAAAGTTATACAAGCCTTTTTATGTCAAAAGTTGTATTTCCATCTACTGAACCCCAACCATTTGAATGGCTTTTTTTGCATGTAAAGGAGATCTAAGCCCTGCATGTAATTATTGAACACTGTAGTCACACAAACCTCACCTGCTAACAAACTAGAGATTTCATTGTTTTGTATTTGATATTTAATTGACATGATCAGACCATGCTGGAATTTATTGTTTCAATAGATATGAATGATCTGTGAGAGGTGGTGGGTTTTAGTAGATGCACTGTACATAATATACCCAGCCTGTTATATTCAAGGGCTGAAAATTTTTATGTGTGGGAAGGCATAGTATTATCCAACCTTGCAGCTATTGGGCATAGGTGTTATAGGAGCTTAAGATGGGTAAAACTCATTTGGTGTAAATATGTGAATAGAATCTAAAGGAAACTTTATTTTTAAGATTATTTTCTGGAAATTAAATTGCGTAGCTTTGTGCAAAAATGAACTAATTAAAACAACAATCATCATAGAATCAATATTTATAAGCTTTGTTTGTTGTAACTTAATTATTCTTAAGTTTATTTATTAGTTGCATTAATTAAATGAAATTTAATGAGTAAAACTTCATTAAATGCATTGCAGTGCAAGTCATGATCACTGGTTACCTCATCTTTCTTCATAATTATCATTGAAATGAATTAATTTATGAACTAAGGTTAATTAAATCAAGGATATTTCAGTTGTCTTTTCAGGTTTTGTTCTTTCCCTTTCTTTTTTATTTATCAGACTGATAAGCAATAACTATGCACATTTTGACTTTTGAAAATTGGATCAAAACTAACTTAACATGATAAGCCTATGAGAAAAGTGGAAGAATATAATACAGCTGCAACAAGAAGCTTCCACTCAGATATTAATTTTTTTTTATCCTTTTACATGTTTGATGATAAAAGAATGATTCAAAAAATTGGTGTTTCCTTTTCTAGCTACCATAGACTTGTCTGACCAAAAGTTATCATTTTCAAAAGTTTCCAAATATTTATGATTTTTGAAAGCCCATAAAACAGAAACAAATGTAACAATAAATAAATTCAAAATGAAACATGAAAGCCAGCCTTGATTTTAACCCTTTTGACCCTGGGAGCGATCAGAATGTTATTTCTCCTTAGAGTAATACTGCTGAATAATTTGCTAAGATCATGAGAATAAAGGAACTGATCACCAACTTAAAAAGCTTTGGTTGTCAAGCAAATTCTTCTTGTTAGTACAAATGAGAATGTACAGAATATGGATGGTGGTTTTAGGGCCTTAACCCTTTCACTCCCAAGATCTCATCAGTAATTCTCCTTACTGTCTACGATACAGTTCTCATGATGTTTGTTTGGAGAATTTGGTATTGGATTAACTTATCCCCTAATTTATATTTTTCTTTATTCTTGTCACTTCTCTGCTTGATATTGTAAGGAGAAATTCTGTCTTGGTCACTCATGAGAGTTAGAGGGTTCAGTGTCTCACTCATTCACCCATCTCAAACTCATTGCACTGAACATATATTTATAAATTCTCTCTCAGGTTCAGTCATGGTGGAAATAACTGAAGCAACACAACATCATCATATCAGTCCGAAGGAGACTGTCTCTTGTTTGGTCAACATCGCCGTACCCTGCCCCACATTGTCTTGTGAATTACCTCTGACTTGAATTGTCTATCAATCATCAATGACTTAGACCCATTCTGGAGACCTTGTTACAGCTAATTGTGCAATGCAAAAAACAACTCAAAATCCAATAATCTGATCAATGGGTTTGTACATCCATTCATCTTGACCAATCTGAGTCAGTTCCTGTCTCAACTTAGTAAGAGTCTGTTCATGGATCTCTGAAATGAAAAAATTGTAAAAATGGGTCTTAAATCTGTATGAGGTTGGGTGAAAATGCAAGATTCTGATCCCTTCTTGAAGTACACACTCACAGGAAAAAATTAGTTGTTCATGATTGGCAATTATAGAGCAAGCTGAGAACAAAGTGTAACCAATCGCAACTTGTACGTTTTCCATGTCGAATCTGTATTAGGTACAGTGTACTAATTGTTCGCTATGGTTGGAGGTTGTGTGGGGAGGGGTGCATTATGCTCAACGAGTAGGTCATAATTAGCGACATCACCAAAAAGTGAGAGAGGTACATGCATCACAGTTATGAACAAACAGCTCGGCATCACTCATCTAAAGCTAATTAGAAATATCTTGACTTGTTAAACATGTAATTCCCTCTACCTGGTCGATTGATTGACTGATTTTGATTCATGCTCTATAATGAACAATTCTGAGAGATGAAATTATTGAGGATTTCCAGACTACCTTTTCTAAGACCTTGAAGGTTAGAGTCCACTTCAATATCTACTTGAATTCTGTTTAGTAAGGCCTCCAACGCTTCTGTAAATTGTGGCAAAGTATTACAATCAGAGATTAGAGTTGTGCAAAAATTTTGAAACGAGAAAATGCGGAGAATTTAAACCTGCACTGAGAGGAAACATGAAATCTCTTCACCTGGTGCCTTACTATTGTCATCTTGATTTGGGGTCCGAAATAAAGCCCTCCTTGTGTCTTTTAACTGACCACGGCTAGTTTCCACACCCGCCATTAGTGCGTTTGAACGAGTTTGAATAACAAAGCTCTCTGAGCATGTGTACTTCGATTAGCCGCTGTACTTTTGGTTCAAGTAATGGCCTAGTACATCTAAAAAAAGCGCCCACTTCGAATCGGAAATTATTCCAATTTGGAGTGATTTAGAGTTAAAATGAGAATTTTGGCAGTGAGATGTACATGATCCTATTAACAGATGCTGTTCTTAATTTGATTTCACAAATTTCGTTCAGTCATGGGGTCTGTCACACAGTTTGCGTTTGGCGCGGCGGTCGGTGTTGCTCTTTTCATGGGAGCGAACACAGCTAGACGGTTCTTTTTCCTTCCAAGAACCACAAACCAGACAGAAAGGAGAAATTCAGCCGACGATCCTTTGCCAAGATCTTTGGAACACATGCATTCGATACAAAGTGCAGTGACCCCAGTGCGTAATTTATCTGATACTTCTGAGGCGGAAGGAAATGCTGTCATTGACGATCCAGAAATAAAACTAGAAGGACAACATCTATTGAACCTTTTGTTCAACATTGCGGAAGATCAGGCCAGAAGAGAAGGGTACATTCACCGTGGAATTACCTGTAACTCTTGCCAAGCAAGTCCGATTTGTGGAATACGATATAAATGTTCTAGTTGTGTTGATTATGATGTGTGCGAGCGTTGTGAAGCGAGAGATGATCATAACAAAACTCATCTGTTTCTGAAGATCAGAATTCCAATGCCTCCTCTCACAAATCCTAGAGCACCTTGCATTAAACCTCTCTACCCAGGTAAGAATAAAGAAAATAACTATCCTTTATATCGATGATTTGTTGAATGTTCTTGGAAAATTTTTTTAAATATGAAAAAAAAATTTCTTTTATTTGTTGATAACGTATCCAAGGAACAGTTTGAGCTTTAGTTACATTTTTTTCTGTCAATGATCTTTCGAAATCTCCAGCCACGAGGACTGCTAATGCTCTACTTAAAATCCCACAGGCCTGCAAATTAACAGCAATGTGCCTTAAATTGAGTAAAACAAATAACTCAGGAATTATTTCTAAGTGTGTTTTCACTAGGGTCAAAGTACTGAGTTACGTATAGTGAATGACATATTTTTAATAAATTTGATAGTGCAATTACCTGTAACTTCGTGATAACGATATTTTTCAAGTAACTTAAAAGTGTATAAGGAAAAACTGATGATGGCTTGAGTCATGCAGATCTATGTCTATAGAAAGTTTCTTTGTGCCTAAAAATTTATTTTGATTAAATTGTGCTATTGTATTTTTTATATTTTTTTTCATCTGCAAGAGATTTGTTGTATACCTGTTTTTAAACCAAATGGGGGCAGCTAGTGAAAAGAAATAATATGTAGGTCACAGACAGAAAATATTTCCTGAACTACAAATATTCTGAAATTAATGTTGTTTTGCTTTTCAGGTATCAAGGATCATCCCTGTGACTTGTCTTGGGATGACATTCAAAGTCTCCGTGAGCAAACTTACTTTGATCAATCAGAGATAGAAGCACTTGTTGAACAGTTCAAAACTCTGGCCACTAAGAAAGAGGGAATTACTCGTGAGGTGTTTGACAAATGTTTAGGACCCTTGGGACAACACAAGAATCTTGTCATGGATCAGATGTTTAAATTTTATGATCAAAATGATGATGGTATCATTGACATTGATGAGTTTGTCATTGGTTTGTCCATTCTTGTGAAAGGAAGTGAGAAAGAGAAGATTTCTTATGCTTTTGCAGGCTGTGACATTGAAAAGAAAGAGTACATTTCTAAAGAGAACCTTAGAAACATGTTCAAAGCATACTTTGAAATAAGCCTTGAACTTGTTCGTGATGTTGTGAGATCATGTGAAGAAGAAATGATGGCATCTTTTGATGACTCAGGTGACAAGCCAGTATCTGCAATATTTAATGCTCCTATTCCTAGTGATGCAGGGCCATCCACAGCAAATGGCAAACCAGTGATGTTAATGAACAACCCAGGGAGTAGCACAAGTGCAAAAGGAGTTGATGGCAGGTCACCAATAATGGAGGCTATGTCACAAGATGCCATAGATGAAATGGTGAACAATGTGTTCCATTGTGCAGATAAAGACAAAGATGGCAAGATTTCTTTTGAAGAATTTGAAGCATGGGCAACATATGATAATACAATCCTTGCATGGTTTGAGGCCCTTGGTACAATTTTTTAGCTCTCAAACTACAGTTGTCATCTGTTTTATTTTAATTTTGTTAAAAGTGTCTGTTCTTCTGAGTTCATTTATTTATTAAAATTTCATTTATATATTAAAATTATAGACAGTGTTACAGTCTATTTGTTTTTGTGATCTTGTTCCACTTAGTTGACCCAAATTTAGAGTTTAGGTCAAGTGTTATGAACATTTTTTGGGTGAAATCCAACAATCAAAAAGTTTTGAAAAAAATAAAAAACTATAGTTTGCTCTTCACCTCAAAAGTCATGTAACATTTTATTGTGTTACTGTCAGTGGACATGAATTTTTTTGGCTTGAATCATCTGAAAGTGGACTATTGTAGCTAAAACATGTCTTCAGAGGTTTTTTAGCTTTTGTTAGAGCCAGCTAATGTATGTTATATTGACTAGTTTGTGTTCATTTGGAGTGTATTTAGTTGATTGTGAAATTGATAATACTTTTGTTTGAAAAGAGCAAAATATTTTTTTGTAGTGGGTTTATGCTCAAAGATGATTTTAAAGCTTTCTTTTTTACTCTAATAGCATTAAAATTATTCATTGTGTGAAAGGAAAGGTTTGAAAAAGTATTGCCATAGCCCGTGAATAGGCCTTCACTATTAGTGTTGGGGAATGAGTGTTATTCCTCTGCCTGCAGTCCAATGATGTTTGGTTACAGATTAAACTTTCCAAAATATGAAAACACTCAGTGGGCTGAAACCGAAAAATGGATTACTTGGTGCTTGGTTGTCAAATAAAGAAGAATGTTATTTATCTTGTGAGATGGAGAAAAATATGAGCACCCCCTCTCCCCAAGAAATATTATGTCAGATCTTTGGATTTTCACTTTTCAGCATTACACCGAGTCACGGGGAAATAAATGGTAAGCAAGGCCATCATCAATGTAATGAGAAAGGTTATTTTTTCTTGTTATGATGTGAACTGATATATCACATGAAACCCCCTTGCCCACTCTTTACCAGGGAAACAAAAATGTGTTCTCGTATGTAGAAGGTATCCTCCTTTGTCGTTGTCCTTCAGGGTGTCACGCAACGCACACCCTACTGCGTGACATCTCTAAAAACCGCTATGAAGGAGTAAAGTTTGCCGTTCGTGGAAAAAAATTCAAGACGTAAAGATTTCCTTTAGTCCAGTTATTTCAAAATTTAACGAATAGGACTGTGATGTGTGTTAGGGAACCTGAAAGAAAGTTAATTTGGCTCACAGATGAATGCCTGTTTTTGATTTGAGAATCAAACCTTTGGGTGGAACAGAGCAAGTCTTGAATCAATTATTTAATACAGAGTCATTTCCTTAAATGGTAACAAAGAGGTAAGCATCAAACTGATTTCTTTGCTTTCCATGGAAAAGAAAAAAAAGAGGAAGAAAAACTGCTATCGTGTTTTATTTTTTCAGTTTTAATCTGGCACCTCTATGACAGTGTGGATCTGCAGTGGTGTCAAGAGGTGGTGGAAATATTTGTTAAAGACAAAACCCAAAATTCTTGAGCAGATGTGTGTTTTGCTAAGGTTATTTGTATTGTGATTACAAACACAGCTTATCTAAAGAATGTTGGAAATTTTTGTTGATTGATGTTGATATTCTTAATCGTCTTTTACAGGGTCTATTATAGCTGAGTGATGAGAAACTGAAATAAGATCTCACCAAGTCTATTACGTTCCGCCCGATTAATTGGCACTGTTATTGTCCTGTAAAGTGTTACAGCACAATGCTATCATATCATACTTTCTGTTTCCAAAGATTTGCCGTCTGAAGAAACAGGCATTATATGTCTTTCACTACAGGAATGAATGATTATCATCATGTTTCATGCAGAACCATTTCAATGTAGTTCGTCTCTCATTCGGCGTGATCGACTGATCTAAGGGATCATGGTTTATGCACGTTTTCAGCATGTTGATCTGCCATTTAGTGATCAGGGAAGGTGGTCAGAGCTGAAAAATCTCTATGCGAAGCTACAGGGAGTGAAGGATACAGAAGATCTTGTTGAAGTTCTACAAAGGATTTTTGAAGTTTCTGGTAATGACATCAAACAACTCCGAGTTCCTAGCGATCGGTCAGGCGCGAAAGAAACTTCCGATTCCTTGAAGCTAAGCTGGCATTTTCAAGGGCTACAGCTGTTTTTTGATAAGATTGCAACAGAACAAGAAAGTGGAACATTTTTCGAGACAATTCTTCCATTCATCGTGAGTTTAGCATCAAGCATCGAAGAGTTTGCACCCAGTGAAGGCATTCTCCTGTGTTCACAACAGCGAGGTGCGTATTAGTGTTGTTTATAATTACCGATATTGGATACAGCCATTGATAGTTTAACAATTTTATTTTTAAGCGATTTAGCTCGACAAATGATGCACAACCATCAGCAGAGCTGTGAAGGGCAATCTTCATTTGAAACATGTTTCAAAATGAGCTTGATCTCACGAGAGCGCCTCTATTATTGTTACGGTGAACAATAATTTGTCGAGTACGCCCCGCTGTTGTTGTTGAAAACCGTTAACAAATTCTCACGACAATTCAAAAGTTCTTCTAATCTCTTTTGTTACTGTAAAAGTCCTTTAGAATCTCTAACAGGCTTAATCGTTAAGGACATCTTTTCTTATTAGAACTTATTTACGCAAAAGTTTAAAATAATTTCCGAAAACTTGTTCGAAAAGTAGAATTTGTAATAGTTTCCTGTGAAGATCACGGAATGATGAGGCTTTACAGCAATCGTGCGGTAATGAGTGTCTTTAGCGCAGTTATGCAAACGTGACGTATTGATTACTAACTTCAAAACATCTTTGCCGCCTGTTTTTTTGTCAATAACACTTTGGCATCTGTTCCCTTTGATGTTTGGTATTTTGCATTGTATTGAACAAGATATAACGCGTTCGATTAAGACCATCTTATAGTTATTGACCCCGATCTGTAAAAGCACGATTATTTTAACATCATAATAGTAATAGACAAAATGTGTTGATTATCACTTCTCGATAGTTTGCAGAGATGATGGACGGATGGACATCAGTATCATGTTGTTGCCTTTTTTTTCCTTTTTCGCAAACGTCTTTTTTTCTTTAGACACATAGTTTCCAACCATCAAGCTATTCTTTTCATCTAGATCTCCCATTTTTTTCTCCCTTTCAAAATCAAAGTTGCCTACTCGGGTTTTTTCAACATGTAAAATCATAATTATGTTGCAGAGTCTGGCATTGTCCTTGACAGAAGATTCATTGCTTGCCTTCTGGCCTCAGCATTTCTCTGCGCATTTCCCCCACCAGCAGATGACATCCAAGTTAGATCCATTAACTTTGTTCATTTGTTTACATGTTTTCACAGGTAGGTTTTTTTTAAACGTGGAGGGTTTCTAAGTAACGCAACTTGAAGTCACATACAATCACTGTTACAAATGTGTGTTAGTGCCAATTCCCTCTCTCTCTCTTTGCAATAACCTCCAGTGCAGGTGTCTTATGAGGGTGAATTAACGTTAAATATCTTCACTCCTTGCCCCTACCCCTCTCTTTATTTTTGACCATTAACTGCCCCCTGGTACAAATTTCTTTCTCTTTCCAGCCTTCCTCTGTCATTAAAATAAAAGATAGCAGCCATAATTTTTGCTAAGAAAATACTGAGCACTCACTAGCCAGAATTACACCTGCTCTGCAGGCTATCTTTGTAGAAGTAGAGTTTCTTTAAGAGGTTATGGCTGCAGCTGAGTGCCTGTGTGAAGTGTCTATGTTATCCCTCCTTAATTTTTTTCTTCTTTTATAATTAAGGGTTATGTGGTTAAAATTTACCAAAGTAGAATACATTGCCACCAAAGCTAATCCCATTTTTTGTAACCAGCAGTGACTGGGACTTTTACCACACCACCTAGACAGCTTGTTGTCCACCATGATTAATCCTTCAGAAATTAATTGCATTTCTCTGAAAGTTAATTAGTACCTTCAGTCCCAGACACATTTATTTGGAAATTTACCGTCCTTCCTCCACCCCTTGCCTCTCAAAACATGGTCTGCAAGATGGAAAGAGGGAGAAAGGACTTCATAATTTGCTCTTGGGTAGAGTGAGACTCCATTACAATATAAACCTTGTACAAGAACCCAACACAGTGACCTATCCACAGCTTGGACCTCTTGACTCAGAGTCTAGTATGTTTACCTTAAAGTCACTGAATCTTCCCACCTGTCATACAACATACAACATACAACATACATCATGAATATCTAAACATGATTTTTCAACAGGTGATGATGTATATTCCAGTTCTCTACCTAATTTTGCCATTTTTTTCTAAAGAGAGGATATGCAAGATGCTCAGGCAGCAAAGCTGCGATGTCTAATTCACTATTTTGAAAGACTTAGCAGTGTCTGGCCAGATGTTACAGGAAGAGTTTTCTACAGCAGACAGGTGACTTTGAAATAATGAATTAATCAAAGAAATTTTGAGCTTACAAAAGATTCAATGATAGGAAAGTGTTACATAGTGGAACTTCTGTCAGACTTTTAGAAAGTATATTTGGATGTCATCAACTGTATCAAGGTTCCCTCAGCAGCCCATTTGATCATTCTGATATATTTATTATCCAAAGTGTCTGGAAATTTAATTAAAATTAAAAAATCCAACAATTCAAGACTTCCTTATTTTAAAGTGACTTGCTTCTTTAGGGTGTTTGTTCATTTGGTTTACTAGGTTATACCAAGTAACTCTCTTCCTTCACTTGATGACTGGATGTCATGTGACCTTCCTCTGTGTCCAGTTATTGTTGATAACAAGACATCAATAGAAAATTCTGGAGAACATATGCTCCAGGTTTGTTTTGAAATCTGAAACTGTTGTGTGCCCACCTTGACAATGGTTCTGATGCTCTGTTGAGTTTAGTTGGCCTTTTTCTTCCCTGAGGAATGCAGGCTTCTTTTCCAAACACAAGTTGGTTATCAACCCTATTTCTTAGCGAGTTTAACAGAAACAGCAACTTACGTTCACTTGAAGAATTGAAATCCTTCAATAAAATTTGAAACTTGCAAGTCCTTCTTTAGCAGAGTAGAGTTGGTAGTTGATTAATGCAAAATTTATGATCATTTATGACTTTGAGAAAGCCTGTGGCCTCTCCAAATTAACTAGTGCTCATATATAAAGGAAACAGAATAAAATTAGTTTTAGTTAGGACTTAAAGACCAATGAAAGTATCATCTGATTTATAAAATATTTCAGGTAGACTTTGCAAACCGTTTCATTGGAGGAGGTGTTTTGGGTGCAGGTCATGTCCAGGTATTACCCTTTATTTAAATTTTAAATCAAATCAGTAGTCATGTACTCATCAAATGTGTTTTGTAACAAATTGAATAAGTTGTGGAAAGAAACTGTGGTATTTTGGGAGGGGTGATGTACTTGAAATAAAAAAGATATCTGTAAAAAGGAGGGTAAATATCTTTCCCCAAACAGTACAGTTTCTTAAAGATAGTTTCCCTACTTTAAAAGGTATTGATTTTTAAGAAAGTTTCTTTTCTTTTCCAGGAGGAGATCAGGTTTTGCATCAACCCTGAATTACTGGTGGCTTTGATGACTATGGAGGCCATGCAGGATAATGAAGGAATTGTGATCAGGGTCAGTTTAAAATCAATTTATTCACAACCATAGTAAGAGTGTGTGCGTTAATTTGTCTCTGCGTATGGATTTGTTCCAGGGAGCTGAAAGATTTTCTTCCTATTCGGGATACGGAAGAACCTTTAACTTCACTGGCGACTTTAAGGACGATTCAGAGGTAAATTTTCAGTCTTATTTTTGGCAAATATCATTTGCTAAGGGAACGATTGGGTAGAATAAAGACCATTTACTGAAAACTGTGAATACTGGCTCTTTGCCGCAATTATGACGGTGAACTAGATTTGCTTGAACGCTTGTCTTTGAGTTAAAAAAGAGCATTTTGATAGATTATGATCAGAAAAAATGGAATGCATAAACAGCGTTTGACTTTCTTGAATTATTCCGGGGAGTTAACAGAGACCAAGGCATTTTACCGTAAGAGAAATCTGTAACTTTACAAAACTACCCACTGTCGAGGATTTGAAAACTTGTCTGTACTTAAGTTAGGACCTTGAAATAATTTGATTATCAAAAATGTTCTTGGTTATAATATTCCGAAAATCAGTGGGTTTATTTTTCTCTGAAAGAAGTGCCATTTTCTGTTAAAGCGCGATGAAGACGGTGATTTTCAGACCACAGTGGTAGCAATTGACGCAAAACGGTTCAAGGATATGCCAAGAGAGACTCAGTTTGAAGAACCTGCGTTGATAAGAGAACTAAACAAGGCTTTGGTAGGATTTTACAACCCTGAAGTCGGTACCCAGATCCTCCGCACTCAATCAGGTTGGTATCTCTGCGCACGTTCTCCCGTTTTTCATTTTTATTTTCATTTTCACTTAGGGAGCTTTAGGATCGACTCATTTTAATCTTAACTCAATATAATCAAATCAGCCAATCAGAAAGAAGGAAAATGCATGAAAGACCCACGTTACCAAGTACTGATTGGTTTCAGTTTTGCATCCAGTTGGTTGAAAAGAGCGAAACGAGCAACGGTATTAAGTGTTGTGGGTATCATTCTCTAGGTTACTTTTGCCGAAGTCGAAGTAAATTTGCACAATATTTGTACATGTTCCCGACACTCGGCATTCGTAGCAGCTCGCAGCGTTCCTTGTGTGACAAGAATTTCCTCCTCATGAAGCCTGCTGTAGAAGTTTTAAGCGCTGCTCAATTTACAATTCTTTCATAAACATTCATCCTCATTCGTCGCGATGTTCACCAAGGAAACGAATTCAAGCGACTACCCTTCTATTTACATAATTCCACTTCTTTGTTCCTCGCTGTTTGTCCCGCGCCTCTTTTGCCAATCGTAGATAAAATTCTGTTTCCCTTTCTTTCTAGATGAAGAAAGTGACGCGTCTTTAGCTGAAAGCGAAGATTTTGTTTCATCGGAAGAGCTCGTGGTTTCTTCGGAAGATCTCTTGGCATCATCGGAGGAAACTGAAACTCTTAAAAAAAATCCCTTTCCAGAAGACGTCAAAGTTATGGAAATTCAGGAATTTAGCTCTAACCTCGTCAATGTAGCGCTATCACAAGCTATGAATGAAGTGAACAATGACTATTTCTTAGAAGACTTTGTTGACGGTGATATTGTGACTAATGTTATGAAAAAGTCTTTGAGCGAAGTCTTTGGAAGTACTCCCGAAAAGGTACGGAGATACTCGGAAAACCTCCTGAGCCCATCGCTGCTCCCGAAGTGCTTGTCGCTTAGCGTAAGCGGTTCAAATTCTCCAACAGTTCCCGGTACACCTCCGTCCTCTCCAGCAATGTATGATCCGAACATATCCGAACAGAAATCTTTAGAGTCTCAACTAGGATTGAACACTTCCCTCAGCTTGAATAGAAGCTCAAGTAAAGATTCATCTCTTTCTTCTTCTGTGAAAAGCTTTGCTGACTCACTCTCCAACTCTCTAATGTCATGCGTGGAGTTGACGTCATCCCTCGCAACCGCCATAGCAACCGTGGCGACTTCACCGGGACAAGTGGTATCGGATACCAAAGAAGCTTTCTGCAAAAGCCCCAAGAAAATAAGGTCCCCGGTAAAGAATGGAGATAGTATTTTGTCATTTTTGAATCAGAAAGTTACTCAATCGGAAATTTCGCCAAATAATACTTACTCTAATGGTTTTCACTTTACTGCGTTTGTAGAGGACTTATCGTCATTAGTGAAATCGTCAAAGTTAGAAAGGGTTAGGATCGCAGATGACTCGGATAGCTGCCTGATGTCTTTATGCGCCAGACAAAACCTCATGGAGGAATTCAATCAAGTTGGGGATGAATCCAACGCGAAAGTGTGCGAGCAGTTTGCAACAAAATTATCAAGCTTAATTGTTGATATTGCCATCACTTCTTTATTTGGATCACAATTTGGAAGGAACGAACTTGAGAAAGATGCATTGGAGATTCCCACCGAGCACATTACAGATCCTGACTCTACGGATTCATCTAATGGGAAAATGGATACTGGTTCTCAGTCCTTATCGGACGCTGTGCATATCAAGGACAGTCAGAAGTTTCTTAACGTCCTTAATGGTCGCGTAGATGCTCTGTTGGCAGATACAATACACTCTGCTCTGGCTGAGGCGGTAGCATATTGTGTTGAGAAAACAGCTTGTGATTGGTTTTCTTCTCCCGTTGATGATGAGCATGAACCATTGAAAGACAAAGATGGACAAGGAGAGACAGAAAATGGAACTGTTTGTGTCAGTAGATCAGATGTAAGTGATGTGAATTCGTCGGAATCTTCTGAAGAGGAGCAGAGCGACTTCCCTGAAGGAGATAAACTGACTGTAGGAAATTCCTTGAACGCTCTCGCCTCTGAAATCCCAGAGGCTGTGTATGAAATAGCCGAGAAACTTTCCCAGAATATCAGTTACGATGGAGTGGTGCAAGCATTAGCAGTGATGAAAGAAAAATCCAAGGAACTGACGACAGAAGTTCAAGTGGAAACTCCCCAGGAAGTCACAGAGCTTGAACCTGAGAAAAAGACAGAAGAATCGCTCTCCTCTTTTGACAAAGAGGGAACAGACAAGCAAACTTTGAATGGATTTGTGGAAGATTTGAGCAGTATGACGATACATGGAGCTGTTAAGATTGCAGGGGCACTTCTAGAGAAGTCCGACGGTGAACCCCGATTACGCCCCGTTGCAACCGGAAACTGGGGATGTGGGGTGTTTAAGGGGGACCCGGAACTAAAGGCTGTTATTCAGTGGGCTGCCGCGTCAGCAGCTGGGTGTCCTGTGGTAGTTTACCATACTTTCGGTGACCAGAGAATGTCACAGGTATGTTAACTTGAAATGATTTTAGTTTTTCTTTTTAAATCACTTCAGATTATAGGAAGGATTTTGTGTTCATCAGCAAGTTTTCTGCTTTACCCGCGCAACATTTCCTCATTACAACTATGTTATTTTCCAGAACAACCATATATTTTCCTCCGTTTTTCAGTGTCGGTGCTCGTCACATATAAATCTTGTCTTGTGTATGTTATCGGTAACTCATAGTTGCGCGCCAGGTGGTTGATCGAAAGACATGGCGTTCGAATTCCTCTTCAATTGGAATCTCGGACTTTTGTCTCTCTTCTACGCTAGTGAAAAACTGGACGACAGATTTGATGATGTTTCTTTTTCCAACGAGCGAGCCAAAAATTTAGCATCTTATTTGTTCATTATTATGGTCACGTTCTCTCGGACTATTCCTGGTCGCCTCTTTCAAGTTGATTCCCGTTCTTTCCTTTTAGTTTGTAGGGAAGCTTAGTGCATGTCTGCTTTCCATGATTAATTGGTTAATGCGGTTGTCAGTTCTTTTTTATCGTTTGACACTCATTTCTTTTTTTATTTTTCTTTCAAAGTTCCTCAAGGCACTCGTTTGTTTACATTCACGTGGCTTGAAAGTCTCTGACGTCATTCAAGGAGTGCTTCGATTCTACAAAGCTATCATGGAAGGAGGGAAGGAAACCGCTGGAAAATATTTGTCACTGCTGTCATTTCTCTGCCAAATGCGTCGACCATCTATCAAGAAATGAAAACGTAAGGTTTACATCTACATAACAAAAGTGGAGGCCAGTCGGCAAACACTAGCTCTTTAAATATCTAAGTTCTCCGAACAGTTTGCGTTTCTGAGCGCGATCAAGAGAGATGGAAGTCGCCGGAAAGTTAGGATCCTTAGTTTTACGATTTAATGGAGAGGGTGAAGGGATTTAGAAAATATCGCAACAAAGAAGGCTAAAGTTATTATAAGATATCTTTGTATAGTAGGGTAAGGTATATTCCGGATTGCGGTTTGGATCCATTAATCAGGAGTATGGAATCACAGAAAATATTGCGTGCCCTTTCTCGAATAATTCTTTGATTTGGCAGTTAGCTTAAAATAATGGGGACCTGCTAATTATTGTTCTGTCCTTTGGAGACACTCATGAAAAATAATAACAGTAGGCCATCGGTTGGAAGGAACATTTATCTTTTTAGGTAATGTAATTAACCTTCTTTTGCATTTCACAGTGCAACTGCGCACGCTTCGCACGAAAAGCGTGTGAAACTACACGGTTTCCCCACTCAGCTCCTTGTTTAAAGAAAAACCTTAATGCACATAACTTTGAGGAAAAGTTACTGGGTGACCTGGGTTCAAGTCTAGGCTAGTTCATGGCCTTCGGATGGGTATAGAGCTTTTGTTATTTTCATTACGTTATGAGTTAAATTATTTCTTCTTCTTGTAATATTCAACCAGGATGTGTGTGGTTTTTTTTAGAGCACACGTCTTTTTCACAAGGTCGGAGTTGTACATCTAGAGTTTTAATACAGAATTATATTTTTGTTTATAATTAGTATATACAACTAAGTGAAGTTTATACATTAGAATCTTAGGGGCTTATATTATTGTTAACGTTTTTTATTTTTAAGACGTAGATAGTTTGCTGAATAAATTTCCAGTTTTATTATACAAAGACATTCTTTTTATAAATAATTGAATACAGAGATTAAACGCAATCGAAAACCAAGTATATTTACTTAAACCCTTGCTTACAATTATGATCGACGAAAGTATCTCGTTTCATTTTTTTTCCTTCAGTCGAGCCGGTTTCAGCAATGTTTATTTGCGTTGTGTTTGATCGGGTATCAATATTTTCTGCAATATTTTCCGCAATATTTTCCGCATTATTTACAAGGGAATGATTAACTATGATATTTATTCATTTCCACGCCTACTAAACACATGAAATTACCCTCGATGTAAACGCGTCAGTCATTAAGGACATCAGGCAGGGCTCGTTTAAAAAGAAAACCTCATTCCTCACCAGAATTAATGACGAACGTCAAATGAATGTAATAATCATGGAATGCGTGCGTGCGTGCACATACGTTTAAGGGTTATTTTGGAGTCCCTTATCAGTATTCAAAATAGATGTTCACAAAAATCATTAGATCCGCTCTCAGTTGTCACAATGGAAGGAAATCATGGATGAAATCCTTCAATCAAGTATCGTTAACCGGTACATTATTTCAGAACACGATAGCGCTTTGTATAGTTGTAATGGACACAGAGCACGAGATGTTGATTAATTTTTTTTTTTTGTGGAGTATCAATCTATTTTACTTCAGTGAACTTTTTGACGTTTTATGTAAAAAACGCCCCCATAGGCGAATCTGTCTTCTGCGCAAGGTACTTATGACGCGTTTAAATCTATTTCATTTCCTCTTCAATCAGCGACCATTGTTAGTTTCCCAGCTCATGACGAACAAGGAACGAGCACAATTATAATTATATTTGCTGCATTTTTACGCCAATCCTCTTACGTTATGCCATTTTATTTTGCCGCTTTGTTGTTTATAGTTCTCATTTCTGTAAATAGAGTCATATTCTTTGCTTAAAATTACTCGCCGCGGCGGTCGCCCGAAAAGTTGCTATATTAAGATTTAGAGCGCGTTTCCTGCCTCGCCGAAGAGGTGTTATAAATAGCTTCCATTGTTTCTTAGCGAGAGGTCGCCGTTGTAAATTGTTATTAAACGTGGTAAAATGAAAAATTCATTATTTCAGATAAATTATGCCTTAATGTACCGAAGCGCTTTTGCGGTTCGTTTGGTGAAAAATAATAACCTGTAAAATAAGCTAAGAGTCGTGATAGAGAAAAGAGCAGAGTACCACAAGGAAAACATGCTGCTCTACACGCAAACTCAGCTGCGAATTATTGAATTTTTGATCATCGATAATAAACAAACCGAAGTTTTCATTCGTCCTCACAATGTCTTCCTGTGAGAAATTAGAATAAAAAAGATGCATGGAAATATAATTTAAGATATCAAACTCGGTAAAGCGGTGTGCGCGTAGACCGTGAACTTAAAAAAAAAAGCTGCTTTTTACGATGTATAGTTTGCCGCAAACTGCAGCAAGTAATGAAATTTCATGACGAGAGAATCAGTAAAAGTAAGATGGGAACTGAGAACCGAACCATTAAGGATAACACCTGCTGAGCACGAATAAATATGATTCAATTGTTCCACTACCATAGTTTACATGCATACTGATGAGTTCACAATTAAAGGTGTTTGTATGGGAGAGGCGTATAATTGATAAAAGCAGCGACTTGTGTCAGGAGTCCAGCAGTGAAAAGTACTGTTCCTTGGGTTCGGAAGGTATCACTTGTCAGAAATCTATGGTCTCTTTGGAAAACGACTATAAGGTGAGAATCACAGGCGTTTTTAAGCCAAAATGAGCAAGGTTTGCCGAACTTATAAATGCTGAGGCTTTAGAACAATCGGATAAAGGAGTCGTGTGAATGAGTTTTGTCGGTAAAATTGATTCCGCTTTGAAGGCTTATGGATGCTTATTTTCATAGCATCGGGGATAGCTAGTACTTTAAATTATTTATCAATAACTCATGACTAAAAGCGAAACCACCTCTAGAATTACATTGCACATTTTTAGAGAGGTGTTCATGTTGTCTTGGCAGGTAAGCTCTAACTTCAAACTTAGAAGTCTTAAATGCCTTATCAGTGCGTATATATGCGTATAGATGACTTCATTTAAGCTATACTCGATGTCATTACAACTCGATGTAGACGATATCTTCTGAAATCAAACTCAAGTGAAATAAGGAAGGAAGATTCATTATTGGCCGTGTATTTATGCACCACAGTTCTGAGTTAGATGATGCAAGCGCATTAAAATATGTTAGTGTTGTCAGAGGATATGAAGTTTATTTTCCAACTGAGTGAAGGCAGAGGTCGCATGTATTTTGATGGCATTTGGGTGTTAATTTAAACTTACCTTTGGCTTTTAGGTATTGTTGGTCTCGATTGTTTTTGTTATTTCCAGCTGATAAAATACTGATGCTCTTGGTTTCTCTGGTGGTAGACCAGTTGGAAAACTTACAGTGGATATCTCGAGTAGGATGATAAACGCTGGGGGGCATTTTATATTATGTATTTCATTCACTGGTTTGCATTTACTCTCTAAAAGGGACATTAATCTAATTTCAATTTTAAGTTCTACTCTAAGTAGAGAGTATACTACCAAACAACAAATTTTCATCGTTTCGTTTAGAAGTCATTTTAGAATAGATTTGATCTCAAACAATTTGCTAAACCGTTTAATTCATGTTTCTAAGCATGAAGTTTTCTTGTATTTACTTAATATTTTGATAGTTACTACCTGTCATCATCAAACTAATCAAGACCTTGCCTTTGAGTGTCTTGAACGTGTTTTTGTGTAGTACTAAAATACTTTGATCACAAAGCTGTTTCATCTCTCTTCTTCCGGCCTTCTTTTCCCATGACGTTTTCTTGTCACATGAAAACAGAAGTTTTGTCGTCCATAAGAGCCTTCTCTCTTCAAGATGTGTCATGGAATAAATTATTCGAAAGGTCATCGCCTTAAGCAGGTGAATCAATATCAAAGCGCAGTAAGAATCGATATGTAATGATGTTCGTTTTTTTTTTTTAAAACAGAACTCTTTCGAAACTTTTCATCGAAATTTTCAACCACAAGTCAGTTGGAAGGAAATATCCTGATCGGGGAACCAAAGCTGTTTAATTAAAAAGAATTATTGGAAATCGGTAAAAAAAAAACTTATTGCAGGAACAGGGGACAAACTAATAGGTAATAGGAAATGGTTTATTGACTTGTGTACAGGTCGATATGAATATGTGATAGACGTGTTCTCTCTAAGATTGACAAGATTATCAAGTATACTGATATACATGGAGAGTTTGAACGATTTGAACAACAAATTACAGTGACGTTTGGACACAGAACTGACATCCTCTGTGCGACAATTGAGCTTTGAGTCGTTAATCACCACTCTCTTTCTTTTAGTATAGAAACATGTTTATGCTGTTTTGAGCGTCGGACAGGACAACTGATTTCCAATTCCTTTTAATAAGCCGAGCGGACCTTAATTTCTAGCTCGCATTCACGGCTTTATTTTAAATGGATTAACTTGTCATTTTTAAATGTCAAATAAACTCGTAAGGACCGGCAAATATAAACTATTAGTCCTAACAAGGACAATGTACAGTGGACATTCTTGTTAACACTTTTAAAAGCCTTGTAAGTGTGTTCTAAAATCTGCCAATGAACTAGTAATGGCACACTCAATTGTTACTTTGCGATGGGTCACCACATTGTCTTTTATTTTCAAAAATTACACTGGAAAAAAAAAGACATTTGAACCGTACTACCTTAATTAAGATTAGTCAGCTGATCAGTCGAACGGAACAAAAGAAAAAGAGGGGCATTTCAGTCTTTGTTCGTTTGGAAATTAACGAGACAGCAGATGTTTCATAAAAACACTAAGGACTTATAAAGCGCTTCATCTTGTAAAAAATTTTCCTCCTCCTTTTTTTTTTGGAAGTTGATGTAAAACACGACTCAATATTATGCAAGCAAATAATGAGCACATGCCGTCCAACTTTTTAGTACCTGTGAGTTCATCATGTGTTAGCATCATATCATCCTTGGCGAATATTCTCCCTGAAATATTAAAATTACGAGCAACAGTCCTTATTTCAAGATCGAAAGACCTTTACTTCTCAAAGACGGCAGGCTCGTTACTTAAAGCGGTGCGCCTTTTTGAAACTGATTAAACGGAACGTTCATATTCACGTCTTTATTAGCAATTCAAATATATTACTTTCATATATTCACAGTCATTTATTCGCCACTTCACGGGTTTATTTCGAACCAACTGGCCAGCTCCCAGTTGGCTTGTTTGCTCAGTTGGTAGAGCGCTGCACCGCGGGTACCGCAGAGATCATGGGTTCAAATCCCGTACAGGCGTGAAATTTTTTCAGGCCTTAATTTCACTGCTGTTCAATTAGTGTTCATTACTGCGAAGATCGCTTTCACATTCACGTCTTTAGCCGCAGTTCAAATATATGACTTTCATATATTCACAGTTGTTACTTTTTCACTTTAACCTCAAATATGGCCTCATTATCAACCATTTTCTTTAAGAGAAAAGTTTTAATTAAAACCAAAAGCGGTATCGTAGAGATCATGGGTTCAAATCTCATACAGGCCTGAATTTTTCCAGGCCTTAATTTCACTCTACTTAAGTAGTGTTCATTACTGCAAGGATCACTTCCATATTCGTTAAAACCATCAACCTTTCCAATTATGTTTTACAAGATGTCTAATGGCTTGCAGAGATGAGAATAACCCTGGCTATGTTGAAATTCATAGTGAAAGCTCGTTAGTGCGAAGAAAATGGAGGTATAAACTGAATATCTATAACAACTAGTTACTAGCATATGTCCGTCAAATCAAGAAAGGACTGGACTCTTGAATCGTTCGGAATGCAAAGAAATGGGTGATCTTACTGGGAACGAGGTAGCCATGTCAAACAAGTCGGTTCTATTCTTAGCCGTCTCACTTTACTTTTGGGTTAATTTTTTTCTTTCCGACCGTCGAGTAAGAGGGTAAGGTCAAATGATGGCTGTAAACTTGATGGGAAAACACTGTGAAATAAAGAACCAGAAACTAGTCGTAAATCAAGAGAGAAATATGCGAGTTGTCACGAACGACGTGGAATATGACTAATGACTAACCCGTCGTTTTTCATGTTAGATATTTTTACCCGAGAATCATTGTGACATTTACGAATGCTAATGCCACAGAAGCGACCGTTTGCGAATTCTTTCCCGATCCGTCATAATGGTATATTAGCTTTCACTGGACGGATTATCACACAGGTTTCCATTAGAAGCTGCACAAACTCTGAAACTTACCCTTCCTCCTCCCTTGGAAAACATTTACATTTTTTGCAAAGAGGGATTTGTTATGAATAAAAAAGATAATGTTAAGCAAACCTTGACACAATGAAAAGCGTCATCTGGAGGATGAATCAGTTAAAATGACGAAAGATACTTTTTTACTTTGAGTTTCATACGAATGCTTTGACATCGGCGAGGTCTCCTTTCTTCATCTCGGGTTAAAGGAACGTAAATGACTCATTGAAATTACTTGGGAAAAAAAAATGAATTAAAGTGAAATTTAAACAAGATGTTCAAGACAAGATAACGGATTCCGCAGTGAGTTTTCTCAATCATGAATGGCCGATTTTTAACCAAACTGATAACATATATTTTTAAGGCGTTATTAGTCATAGACTGTTTAACTTCTGAGTGCTATATTAAAACAAATCAGCTTAAAGAGCTCTTGTTAAGGATCTTGGTTTTTTAGCACAGATATCAGGCTTTACCTAATGTGTCTTTAATTTAACAGCTCGCAACAAACTCACATCATCCCTTGCCTTTGAATAAACACACCCCAAATAGGTTGTCCATTATTAGCGGGGAATAAGGACATATCAGTTTAACATTTCGCCAAATGCTTTTAAGATAAGTTAAGTTGGGTGTTTTAAATCTAACTTCAAGGGGTTAGATTTTTACTAAAAGTTCTAAATCAGGGCGGATTCTTTAAAAATACTATTCTCTTTTTATCATTTTCATTAATGTAAGGTCTCTTCTTTGCTGATGCTGTGTTTTCGTTCTTTCTTTGCGGCCAATAAATCTTACCGATACGTTATCAGATAAGGTAGCTGTAATGTTATGCACAGTATTTCCGCTCGTTTTTCTCCGCGGTTCTCCGTAAAAGTAACTAGAATCGACAGCGATCTCTTATAAAGGCGAGGTGATAAGATAAGCCTTTTCCCGTCTCTAGTTTATGGGTCAACCAAAAGATTGTAAAGTGTAGTATATAATCTCTTGCATTAAGTTATCTCAAATAGCAAAGAAAAAAAAACATTCTCGCGTAGTTCGTAGAAACCCCAAAATCTTACGAAATTTCACCGGACAGAAAGTAACATGGGTTGCTAATACAATCAATTATGTTAGAGCGTCGTGCAAAATTAATACAAATGGATAAATGAATGAAGGCATGAAGTTGAATGAATTAAAACACCCCCAACATTTTTCGTGGAGTAGCAAGTGTTGCGAAAATGTAGTCGAAGGTCCGTTTCAGTTGTAATTATGCTTTCACAAAGTGCCGGTTATTATAATTTTGATTTGATAAAATGGCACCAAAACTTTACTAGAAATTTGATTTCAATTCACGAAAACGAATTCTTAAAAAACCTTTGTGTCGCCTTGACATTTTAACGCTTTGTTCAAATTATAACCCATCTCTCGTTTAAAATCTACCATATCCTTGAAATTAATTTCAGATTGGCCGAGTTATTCTTTTTTTTTTCTCTAAATTATTTGAAAAAATTGCGTGATATATGTCTTCGCAATACATAGTACTGAGCACAGATTAAAAATAGAGTTGACGTTTTCTCTACTTTTGTTTGCATTTTGTGGGGTCAAATGTCAACCACATGCCATCCTCAACCGCTTTGTACGTTAATTGGCAAGCAGAAACCGTATTAATAAATAAACATAACACGTTTTGCATGTCTTAGCAAATGTAACTGCACTCACTGAGTCAGTGGTCCAACGAATCGAGAGAAGTGTATCTTAAGTGGGCTAAAAGTGCCGAATGCTGTGAGGTTCTGTAAGTTGTAATTTTGTTTTTATTCAGGCTACAGATAGTAAGTGTTAGACATTCTAAGTTGTTAGATCTTAATTTCGCTCTTTCTCGCGTAACGTCCTTAAATGAAAAAAATATGTATGCATATATCCTACGGACATTGCGTAAACATGATTCTAAATCAAGATTAAGATTCAAAGCTCCATAAAATCTCAGTGTCCATCGTTGCTTCCTAATTCGCATTGGCATGATTTCTGTCTGGGTGCGCTTTTCATAATTTCGTGTTAATTTTGGGCCTTTTTCCATGCCCCAATATTTACTATTCACTGACTACCTTTGCTCATCCCCAGCAAATCGTCCATTCGGTTTTCTTTTTGAACCGAAGTTGAATTCTACTCTCTAAGAAAACGCTTGTATGCCAGAGAAACCTCGAAATCCAGAATGTATTTCGTCACTTAGGTTCCTACCTGTGTTGATTTTAGGTAAAAGCAATCAGAAGAGCAGTCAACAATTACACAAACAAAACAAACAGAGTCAAAGAAGGCAGGTATTTTTCCTGTCAAGTTTTCCTCAAGATCATATTCCGTTCAAGTTCGCTGTTGTGGGTCTTTATATGTTCTTAGCAAACCTCGCTTTCAATTCTTCAAGAGGTCAGTTACATCAATTCATTTAAGCCAGAGACTTTCATGATCCCTAACGCGTTTAAGAACCATCAAAATAAACGATGGACAAGTGGATGTTGTTTGATAGGCAGATGACAGAAGATCTAAAAACTTCTTTCAAATGCAAAGATAAATACACCTGTTAACATTGGATAGGAAAACAAACGTTAAAAGTGTTTTCATTCGGCTAGAGATTTAACATTTGTGTGTTTGACGGTGCCTTGGGGCCACACGTAACAATCGGCGCGACCTCACAGACCAGTGTCGCCAACGAAACAGGGACAAGTAATCCTTCAACTGTCTATGAGTCGTCTCTCAACATCGTTTCATGTTTAAGCTTTATATTCCGTGCTCTATGGTCAACAAAGGTCCATTCTTAAAAATGGTGATCGAGATATACGAATTATCATATGAAAAAAATAATAAGCATAAAGACAAAGGACATCCAAATATCATGCACTGTAAAGTTTTAAGTGAAAGCAACTCCTCCGATCTCATAAATGTCGGTCTGATTGTTTGCTTATACAAAATAGACTTTAACTTTTTTAAAGCGCTTCCCTAAAACAACGTCAAAACTAAGACGGCAATCCTGGACTATTTTCGGCTTTTAATTGCAAATCGCTTTATGTCCCTTTAACTTATAAATAAATGAAACATATTCAGTTATTCTTTTTTTAACTTAGTGGATTTGGTGGATATAAACACTCTACTGTGCTTAGGAAACGAACACACTACGATATCCAAATTTTACATTCGCAAAAATCTGAATAGATCTCTTACTTTCAGCTGTTCTAGGTTTTCTAACGGCCCTGCTCCCGGGAGGAAGGAAACCCTTTCTTTGACCCAAACGGGAATTGCCGCCATACAGAGTAAGGATTTGAGACTTTGTGTCTTCAATGGGGTGTAAAAATTTCACTAAATTTACCGTCCAGATAGCACCCGAACACGGGTGTCGCGCTAACGAATAAGGCGTGACTGATGGCAACTGATGGGCAGTTTACATGTGGGCTTCTGACAGCGTTGCTCAAAGATCATTCGAAATATTCAATCTAACTATGTTAATGACGATAAACCTTGCCTGTGTCTCGCGCGGGTGGTTTTTCGGGGGTGCTCGATGGTAATGGCGAGGTAGAGCCACCGTGGTAAACAGTGGAAAACGAGCAGCGGAAATCCGTCTTCCGTTCCAAGTCTCTCACGGCTCTACACTTCATCGCTTTAAATGGGGAATTATTATGGACATTACTGTATGTATTTAAAGTATAGGACATATTAAGTATTGAGTAGATAATAATTCTCCATACATGACGTACCTAGGTAAAGTGCTCACAAAACCGCTGGTTAAGCAGGCTTAGACAAATACCACACCAACACCTCGATCACATTCTAAAAGAAAGAGAGAAGGAGGGAAAGACTCTGCCGCAACAAGAATAGGAGCAACAGACAAACAGTAAGTCAAACACCAAAAAGTTGATTTGCCTATAGATAAAAGGCAGTGGTAGTTTAAAACACGAGGAGTGATGGAATTGTGGTGAACAAAGATGTGGAGCATTGAATTGTGTAATGACGAGTTCATGGTGGGCAGTGACCCTCTGCCGGTTTAAAAATGATTTTATTCGAGTACATCGACTAACGCCGATCTAAGCATGAATCCGGCCTGTTCCTTAAAAGTGATCACTAATTTTATGCAGTGTTTCCTCTGCAGTTTAGAAACCTACTAATCCGATATCGGCTTGGAACAAGCTAGCAGTAATTCTGAATAATTACTTTTCCAGGCCTTAATCTGAAACAGGGCCTCTCAATTTTGCTGGTTAGATCACGGTCAAGGGTATTTTTCAAAAAAAATTGACAAAGGATGAGAAGGATGAGATAAAGTAGTCTTGACATTAAATCAAAGACTCGATCATACCTGGAACCTCTGAGTGATTTTGTAACTGTACACCATTGTTATCTGGTTGTTACTTTCTATATTTTAGTCGTCAATGTAAAAGTGTCAACACGTTATCGCCTGTAATTGTTCACTCAGTCAGCGGTCCAGTTTATGGATGTCCATGATTAGATAAGGGGACCTGAGTGATGCCAAAAAAACGAAAGCTTCCCTTCCGACCATGCCTTGATTTAACTTTCAGGTAATTTGCGGTGTGACTTTAATAAGTATACCATGCAAAGTGAGGAAAGAATCTTAAACACCACTGCTATGGCCACAGGTATGTTATAGGTGAAAAAAAATAGGTGGAGCTTCACGAACACTGACAGATGAGCGGTACTCTCGCTTTTAGTGTTCGCGCGGCAATAATTTTCAAGCGCACATCTATCAATAATTAAAGAATAATTTCACAAGTCTTTTTTGTTTTGTTTTGTTTCTTTTTTGTAAAATTTATATTACACATTAAAAGGAGAGAAAATCTCGAAGCACAGTTTGAAATTTCTGAAAATACGTACTGCGGCGAAATCGTCCAAGAAATGTCTTCAAAATGGTCTCTATATGAAAACGAATCAGTAATCAAAAATCCAAAGGGCTTTTTTCACAACACCTTTTGCTCTGGTTACCGCCGAGAAAAAGGACTTTTTGATTATCGTAGTCAAGAATTCTTTTTGTATGAATCCTAAGTTGGAACAGTTTCATTGCTCTTCGGAATTTTAAAGCGCAGATAGTTTCATATTTGTATACAGTTTTTTGACCCCTCAGAGTGACAGGCATCTTATTTCTCCTTACAACATCAGCCCTGAATCACCCATTAGGTCATGAGAATAAAGGAAACGATCAACGACTAAATAAGCTCTTGATCATTGACCAAATTCTCCCTGTCAGCAGCTTAGGAGATGTATAGAGAACAGTATGGAGAATGTATAGAGAACAGTAGATACAGATAAAGAATAATAAAGGAAGTAGGTTTCTAAAAAAAACTGTGGTGTTACGTAGGTGGGGGAGTATAACGAGAATATTTTGTTTTGTCAACTGAGTTTGTAATGTAAATTAGCCACCATAAAGACCTTCAAAGCTGCCTTTTCAAGCGTCAGCCCTTCATCAAAGCGAAGGACTATGGGCTAACGCTTGAAGTGTCAGCTTTACGGTTGTTAATTTATTTGAAATATTTTACATATATAATATGCATACCGATGTAAAGGTATAAAGGATTGATACATTTTTGTTTATCACTTGACAGAACTGCAAGAGATGTCCAATTCATCTTCTGATCAAATCCCTGGACGACCTGAACTTAGTTCAAGTTTTGTTATATTCGTAACAATTTATGCCGTTATAGTCTTTATCGTTGCGGTGATTGGAAACTCCTTGGTGATATACATTGTAAGCGTAAGGGAATACATGAGAAACTCCACTAACATACTGATAGCCAATATGGCAGTCGCAGACATCTTAATGGCATGTTTATTTCCGTACATGCTCAGATGGCTTTATGTCGGAGACGAATGGTTTGGTACATTTATGGGGATAGCTCTATGCAAGTTTTTCCATTCTGCTCAGGTGCTCTCCATCTCGTGTTCTGTTATAAACCTCGTGTTCATCAGCCTTGATCGATGTTTAGTGATATGGTTTCCATTAAGGCGAATTTTCACTAATAAAGTCCTGAAGGCGTGTTTGATAGGAAGCTGGGTTTTTTCTACAGCATTTGCTATACCCCTGATTATAATGACCACGGCAAAGAAAGATCCAAATGGAATATATCGCTGTAACGAATATAACTGGCCTACCTCGCAAGACAGAAACAACTACGCTACTTCGTTCACAGTTTTGTCTTACCTTACTCCTCTTCTGATTATTACCATTGCCTACATACTCATTGGTGTAAAACTTCACAATCGAGAATTACCTGGTGTTCAAACATTAGAATATCAAAAGAAAGCCCATGAAACGACAAAAAAAGCCATAACGATGCTTGTGACGGTGGTGGTCGTATTTGCACTCTGTTGGCTCCCGCTCCAAGCGCGGGAATTTATGCTGCATCACTTTCCACAGACATTCTCCCTCTTTCCAATTGAGGTGGACGTATTACTACCATGGATTGGTGTCTTAAACAGTGCAATAAATCCCTGCTTGTATGTTATATTTTCTGAGAATTTTCGTCGTGAGTTTGGCCGTGTTCTTTGCTGTATGGGAAACACCCGCTCTGATGCTTATTTGGGAATCCCCGCAACACGTGCAACGCCTATGACCACGCCTATAATGTCTCGGCGCATGACGACCACCCCTATTATGGGACGGCGCACTCTGTCAGCTGCTCACATACACGAGACGCTTCCTCTGCGACATTTAGCAACCGATCAGAAATGAACTGAATTTGAACAAACAAAAAATTATTCTTAACTCTGATCCCGGTACATGCAACGAGTGTATATTCTCTTCCCTCGCTTTAGATTAATGAGAATTCAAGTCGTGCGGGGTTTTACCAAAACGTTTTATCGGAAAACTTTGAAAATACTAAATAAGAGTAGTTTCATTTTAAAACAGGTTGAAACTACCTATACGTTTGGTAAATTTTCTTTTCTGCCAGTACGCATAAAACTTTGGACCATAATCAATATTTGTGCACACAGCTTAAAAGTTCCATTTTAAGAGGTAAAACCGGCATTCTGCTCAGTTGTATGTTCTAGTTCGTGTCAGAGTCTCAGTCAGTGGAGACCATAGAAAAAGCCGCGAGCAAGCGGAGAGTGGCACAGGTCGTCCTACAAAAGGTTTTTTAGTTCCTAACTCGCCCTATCTTTCTTTCATCCTCTTAATCGTGGGCCTGGCACGAGCAGAAAAGAGTTACGAAAGTCGGTACAACAAGTAAACTTCCAAAATTTTATTATAATTAGATGAAATACTTTTAAAATATTGTTCAACGATTGTTGTTGTTGTTGTTTAAATCAATCTTGGAGATTTTACCACCTTTGTTTCCGGACTTGTAGGAAATTGCAAACAGATAAAAATTGCAGTTTTCGCAGCGGGTTTTAGCTGTAAACAAAGCTAAATATTTCTATCCGTTAAAACAAGAATGAATTAAATCTCAAAATCAATTAAAGAACGTTATTTTTTGTGATAATTGGGCATTAAATTAATGAAATCAGAGTTATTTTTAGTTTTACTTAATTATATAAATTCCGGTGCATGAAATAAAGTCTATTTATGGTGACAGGTTATAATCACTGTGTTCTTGGTTTGCAAAGCTCGAGTTCATTCACGAGCACATTTGTATTGTGGAAAGATTGCAATGATGTACGCAGGGTTATTTGAAATACATTCATTCACATGTAAACATAAGTGGAAGTCGTCACAAGCAAATGGGGCAATAGTCTAATTGCGGTTGCTTACGATTCAATTTGCCCGCAATTAGTTCATATGTAATACTAAAAAAAGCAGGGTCAAACTTCCACTTACGCCCAGTTGTTTTTCGCTCTAACGGACCTTCCATGCAATCACTCTAGTGTTAACCTCTTCTCTATGTTTACTTCTCCACACTGGCAACGGAAATGAGGTGTTAGTCTCCTTAGCAACCGTTGTTTGGTTTCGTCTCGAAGAGTGTTGTTTCCCCCATCATGTTTTGCTTGACGAGACCTCACAATGACTGTGGGGGGACTGGTAAAGTGCGGTTACTGCTAGTATATTATTAGTTGGCCACTGGCAGAGATGCAACATGGTAAGAAGATCAACCCTCTAGACTCTGGGAAGTCCTGTCCAAGTAAAATTTTTTTTCCTGTATAAACGTGATTTCTTCGATGAATTTGAAACCTTGTTTTTTTTTTGTTTGTTTGTTTTTACTGTTAAGGTAACATATTCCATATAGGCTTTCGAGGGTGAAAACGTATTACATGTACACTCTTTCAGCATGAAAAGTTCAAACAAACCATGATCACAAGTCTTCAAAATAATAACTAATCAGCAGAAGTTTGTAAAGAGCCACGTCACATGTTTATGGAAATTTGCATAAATAATGATTACCTTTAAAACAGGTAACTTTTGAATTAGTAGTTTCGATGAAGGTTAAAGGCTACCGAATAATTCTGCCTTGTGGTTTTAAGTATTGGCCAATGTGATTAAGTGCTCTTAGGGGCCATTGTTAGTCTTATTCTCTCTTGCGTGACACGATCTTCATTCGCGCTATTTGTAGACCATTCGCTCAGTGGCATCGTTTAGTGACTCATGAAAATTTAATACCACGCAACCAGTGATAAAACCAGACTTCGTGTTGGACAATGGACTTTGAAAGAAGCATTTTCGTGTAATGTAACTCACAAGATGTGAATTGATCTAATAATTCTGCTTCTTTGATATAGTAGCAATTTTACCATTGAATATACTATCTTGCACAATACTAACAATTGTAACAATTATCACGGAAAACCTAAAATAAAATTATTACAACAGAACTTTTTAGATTATTGCCAGTTGTTCTCCATGTATCCTAATGAAAGCTTTTGCGCGATAAAGTGAAGCGCCAGCCACCCGACCCAGTGGAAATTTTGACGTCAGGTGGTATGCAGGTCTCTCTACTTTCAAACCTTCGTGATTTGCCCAGATGATAGACACGTTGTTCAAATATTGTTCAATGAAAGAAAGATCAACATGAAAAAATTAGTGGTGCACACTGTTTGAACCGAGACGGCTGAGTTATCACAAGTAGCCGAAAGCGACTGATTGCGGATTGATGCGGTTTTTCCTTCTTCTTTGTCAGAGGTAAGCTTTGGTGATTTTAAACCTCAAGAGGAAACTATTACCTCGCTCTCTCGGTGGGCTGTTTATCTACTTCTTTTCATCACAATTTTCTGTCGACTTCGAAAACTTCAAAATATCTGAAAACTTTAACCAGTGCAGTTGAGGACTTAGACAACAATTGTAAATCGGTACTCAAAAATTTGTGGTTTTCGGAAACCGAACAAAAATAAATATAACGACTTCAGCCCAGTAGACGGAAATTGGCACAAGAAGGTCAATATTCTAACTGAAATCGTGATAGATGCTCGCGGAAAATTTCCTGCTGGAAACATGATATTTTGGTGCAGATAGAACATTTCATTTTCGTCTCGATCAGATTCGCGCCTAGAATTTCAAATAGTTCGGCATCAGACAACAGAAGCAGGACCGACCCAAGGAGAATCAGCTCAAGCTTTTGCTGTTGCATTTGGCAAAGTTTACGCGGAACTCGAGGGCTAACTTCGATCCTCTGACGTCTCTGCTTTATTTTAATTGGAAGTACGTCATGACCAGGTCATAGTACTGAAACAGTTAGTTCGACAAGTGCCCTTTAGATATAAATCTTGCAGCACTATTACAAAGAAAACAAACCTCACGAACACACCGGTAAACAAAAGGTTTGAAATCAGGTAGGTTGGCGTAATCAATATCAAGATAAAACGTATTTTATGTGGAAGTTAAATATGTAAATATCAATTTGTAATAGTTCGTGATTTCGTGCACATAATTTGTAATCCTTCAATTGAGTCTTCAAAGAGGGTTTCCCTTCGACCTTTTAAAACTTATTATCTAATGTTTACTTAAAATGTTGTAAACTTATTGCGGCCCTCAAAAATCCAATGGATTTAAGGTTTTAAAGGTTGAGTCCATGACATGATAAATACAGCGCTTGTGTTCGCGTGTCGTGACCGCCTATAATTTTGACGAACTTTACGTTAAAACGTTCGTGTTTTCTTGACTTAGGAAAGAGGAAAACAGAGGTAAGGAGTTCTTACAGTGTAATACTGATTTTAAAGACCTATCTATATCTTTAATGTTATTAGGAAACTCTTCAAAAACACGATAATTAATGACTGGGGGGGCCTTCTAGAGAATATAACGCGAAAAATTTCCGGAATTATAATTGACCGGGTCACTACGGGGGATGAGTGATTTTCATGCGCGTGCAGCGAGAATTTCTCGCTAGCGCACGCCAGATACGGAATAGACTGCTTTTTAAAGTAATAGTTGTAATGGTGGAGAGTGTTAAAAAAATTTTAGGTAGAAATAGCAGCTTGCTTGACTTAAGAAACGTCCCATCAAAACTGGTTCGAATCGCGGATTACAGGTAAAAGGTTTATAGTGCGTGTGTCTCGCGCGGCCTAAAAGGGTGCTCTTGGTCTTTAACGAACGTGGATGCACCTTGATTTTATTTCAAAATGTAAGCTCCTTTAGATAAACAACAAATGGGCAGACGCTGAACAGAAATGTTAGTGTGGTTTTCTAGTTTGGAGAAATGACTCTGCAGACGCCGAAGCGCTTGATATCACGCAGACTTTTTCAACAACTATAATTTTAAAGCCCAGTATGTCTGATCAATTATTTAAGTATCTCCTATATATTTTTGTTCGCCCGTCAAACTTTAAGTAGTTCTCACTAACGATGGCTCTGATAAGAATGACAGGAAACTCTTTAGAAAAAAAACAACACAGACAACGGATCAAAACAAAGCCATTCCGTAAAAGACCTTGATACATTCCAGGGTTGTACATGAATATTAAATTCTACCTAATCCGCTTCTGAGTGGCACTTTTTTCTGATAGTTCGTTCGTTTAGTATTCGTGTAAGTAATCTAGGGATGACTAAGTGTATCTACACTCCCTTTTTTTTATGTGGCAATTAATATTTTCGTGCTGTTTTCTAGTCTTCGCCTGACTTATCTCTGAAGAAATAAGAGCAAACTGAAGGAGGCTATAACGTGCGGCGCGTTGTCTTTTCAAAGATCGTAATCTTGGAATGTTTACGGAAAAGAAAGATAGACAAACTCACACTGTTAGTCAGCAATTTTCGCACCGCTTAACCTTCGGATTAAATCATGAAGAGTATACTGTCAGAGAGTTATCAAGATAAAGGGCAAGTGGAGAACAAACAAAATTTCATCTCGCTACTATGAAGCACAATGATAGTTAACGCTTATATGGGCATGATACTGATTTGAGATGTTACGTTTACGTGACTGTAAGGGATAACTGAGGTGTGATAGGTGACTGAAGCCAGCCTCTAATACTTATAAACCCGGATAATCCAAGCTTCGGCAATGACCCTTTAATCTGTTGGCTAGTTGTTGTTTTGCCGGCTTTTTATACCCTCGTTGTCTCGGAACGCTTAACAAACAAATCAACGCTACAACTTTCATTCCAGATGTTTAAAAGCCGATTTCGAGAGCTTATTAACTCAAACTGTGGGTTAGAGCATCTTACACCTTTGTTTCACTCTTCTGTTGCTACCACAAATATGAGGCGTCTTATGCCGGATTGATGGTGAGCATACTCTGAAGTGCAAACGAGCAGGACCTAAATTTGTTCAGTTTGATATCAGTAAAATATCAGCTAGCCACGGAAGAAATCGCTAGAAGAAGTACGTCATTGCATTTACCCAAGTATATTTTCTTCCACGCATGCAAGGTAAGCCCGAAATATTTGAAATTTTAATCCAAAGGCTCGCAGCCATGATTGCTGCACGTGAAGGAATGTTTTGGCATACTCGCAACACCCGAGTGACCCTTGGTTTCGAATAGTTTGTAAACAAGTTTCTATTCTAAAAGCTGAATCGTAAGCAGGTAGGTTCATTACCATATAAAATCGTTACACGGGTAAAAAGTTCTAATATTAGTAAAGAATATTTCTTAACTCTCGCCGGAAGGTGATAAAGAAAGATTTACACGAAAGCGCGAATTGTGGGGAGAAATGCAAATTTGAACAATTGTTATTAATGACGTCTTGTCCTTTTGGCGCTAAAATAAAATACACGTGTGACAAATGAATGCAATCGTCTTGATTGAGCAGATTCCTGCAAATGTTTATCTCCAAGGCCTCTAGAAGGCGCTGGGATTGCTAATTTGCTCGTTCGGCAGGCTGTGGATCAAACCAATGATCCAACAAAATAAACTAATTGTGTCTCTTAGTTAATGTTCGGATCTTTTTAATTCAAACTTAGATTGTAACTGAACATAGTTTAGTCTTTTAACAACAATCCGGTGACAGTTTAACAACCACAAAGAACACTTGGCTCGTTTCATTAGCTTAAAGGCCTTCGGGCGACTTAATGTTTCCGAGAGAGCGAAGTTTTTCCGGAAGTATACTGGCTGTCATATTGTATTATGTTAATAGTATCTCTTAAGATTTGAGACTTTTAGGTTAAGACGGTGTATCATGGCCTCGTCTTTTGTTTCAGTTCATTTTTTTTGTGCCTTCGTCTCGTTCCTTGGGTCGCGAAAACCGATAGAACCACTCCGATATTTCAGGCATAATTGATAATATATCTAATCAAACATATTGCATGGCCGTGCGTAATTAAAAATCTTGTCTACGAATTTATCATTGACGAGAGAAGTTAAATTATTATCCTCGAGGAGATTTGTTATGGTTTGTTTATTACACTGATATTAATTACATACATAAAAGCAAGGACAATTCTAAACCACATGTTAAGAGGACCGAATGTAGAGATCACCTGCCCGTAAACTCAACCGCGCGCTGAAGAGCTGCTTCAACGTCCGACTGATATGATAAATGCATTATTAGTTATAATACATTACTTGCTTGGAGTCCGCAATTTCATTACGTTTGGGCGGCGAGCCCACTAATTTTTCAACATTTTCTACTTGAGAATTCACTTTGTGAATTATACTCTTAATAGCATTGGGCAATTGGTCTAGGAAGGTACAGCTTAAGTAGTATTGAAAAATGGTAGCAACCAAGGAACCAATTATGGAACAATTTCTATACAACATGCAACTCAACTGTGTCATTTTTTGACAACTGATTTGCGCGGACTTCCGGTAATATGTGGCCAATTGTGTTCTTCTAGAATAATCTATTGTTTACCCCGCTGACTCTGTTTTTGTTGGTTCTGCAGAAAAAGTGATGAAATAATAAAAGAGTAAAGTTCAAACAGGCGTCCATTCAAGTTCTAACACTGAAGTCACTCAGCGTGAAGCCAGAAAGGCGGCCGAGAGCTGAGCTGAGCGCTACAGCATTTTCCGGTTTGTACCTATAGATTTATTCTGTTTAATTCCTTTTTCTGAGAATCGTCACAGGAAACACTTCTTACGAGCATTTGTGCGGTACTTTTATTGCGCTTTATAGTTCTGAATTACAAGTTTTTGGCCCTCTTAGCTTCACGGAATAAGCTGAGGTTAGAAAACAATTCAAACCGAGGGAGCTGGAACGGAGATTGCATTTAATCGAGGTAAATTTACTACTAGTTAGATTCTTATCAACATTAGAAGTTACAGTCATCACAACTAATTTACAGGTTAGCTTTGAGAGGTGAGTGCAGCAGAGTCTTTGGATAAATCTATAAACTACGTGTTTGTGCGACCAAAGCTTCAAGACCGAAAAACAACTGGAAGGAGAAATGAAATTTGTCCAGCTTTACAGCGAAACGTAAAGCTTGCAATTTAACCAAATTCGCACTTTCAGCTTGACTTCCCTGACACGCCGAATCTGAATTAATCTAATGGTTGTTCGGCATTTGACTAAAAAGAATATCACCTTAGATATGGTTCGATGAAATACGTTGACTTTTGATTCGGACTGAGAAAGTATTTGAAGCTGAGGCGTACATATTTACGACTATAACACTGAGGCCAGAATCACAGCTTCATCATGTTCAGTAGTTTTAATTATATGCAACCAAATTGAATTACAAATATTTACCTTTCTTCGAGGATGCAGTGTGTTTGTACTGATATCAGGCATTTTCCCGTGGAATTTAATTCAAGGAAAGACTTTTGGTAGGTTAAGTGACCTCACGACCACATATGCCGCTCTTTATAAACAGGGGAGACATTTGGCTAGAATACTAGTTATCCAGCTAATTATTCTCTCCAAAGTTTTCTGTCATGTTAACCTTTCAGTTTTGTATTTTTAGTTTGTACCTGATTCAATTAGGATAGAACTCTAAAAGAGAAACATACACGAAAGCCTTGGTAGCTTTCCACCGTTTGCGTTGTCACCACATGTCCCACAGCGTGGGAGAAAGAAGCCGAAGGCGCCATAAATTTTCCTGTTTTCTTCGATAACTTTGTGCTCTTCATTTTTCTTAAATTCATGGTAACGAAAAATAAATTGAAGTGAGCGTTTGTTTGATACATTTGGAACACTTTATCTAATTTGGGCGCTGGTCCTCAGTTGGGAAAGAAGATAAGTAATTAACACAATTTGAAGCAGTAGACAGTTATAGAGATACTCTACCGTGAGGTCATGCAAGGCCCTGTTCCAGTTCATTAAGTAGCTCGAACCTATTGCCGCATGAGACTGAAGAGATACATATGTAAACAACTGTATGTCGAGGTAGCTTTCGGAGGGGTCGAAGGATAATTAATTATAACTCATAACAAAGCTATAAGTTAAAACAATTTCCATCAACTTCATATTAGAGAAATGATTGACGGAAGATGTAAAACATGTTGTAAGATTTCAACAAAAATATTCTTCAGAGAAATGAGCCAAAATTCGCAGGTTTGAAATTGAAATTGAATCCGAGTCAGCATAATGCTTCATGGCAGGCATTTTCGCCGCGTGAAGCACATACGAACTCCCTGCATACGCACACTTTCATTTTACTTGTAGAAAGAAAGTGGTCACCTTCATGCTGAAACAGCGATGTAACACAGATAGTTTAATTATCTTCAGCAGCTTGCATCTCATGTGAGCAGAAACTGAGACAAAAATGTTCAACTTTCTAGATTGTTTCAATGAGTCGATTGTCGATCACGCTGGGCACACACGTAAGACCGACAAAAAATGAATCCGTCAAAACATAACAAACATTTCTCTCGCCGTACGTTAGACAAACCACTGAGAAGTTTAAATAACTCGACAAGTTTATTTGCATTTTGTTCTCGCACGTTCTCAAAATGGGTGACTAATATCCTTTCAGTTACCTATGACTGTCATTGTAATATATGAAAAGCTGTTATTTCACACGCTAATATAACTGGAAAGTAAAGATACAGCTTCATGATAAGTTTGGTACGTGATTGGGGGCGGATTTTAATTGGAACCATTGTTTTTTTGCTAGCGTGCTGCGGAGAATTCCCGACGGCGTCGTTTGAATTGTTCAAAACGGCCCTGTGGTTAATTTGACTTCTTAAAATGCATCATTATTTAATGCGATATCATTAAAGCAATCGAAAGGAAAATGTCAAAGTGGGAAATTATAGAGCTAGCTGTGCCAAGAAAGAGTTATGTTAAGGTGTGCTTCATTTTTCTTTGGCGCAAAACCATGACATGTGAAATGAATTATAATCGACAGTTGAAAATTCTTCAGTTCGCTTTTTTCCCGCAATGATGCCGAGACGTTCTAAATTTTTAAAAAGAAAGATTTCTTATTAAATATCCAAGGTTTACGTGGGCAGGATGTTTGACAAGTCCCACGTCCTTTAAATCGCTGAAATAGAATTAAGAATTATTTTTCACTAAGTTTACATTGAAAAGCTGTCAATTTTTTGTAATTGGGATTCCTCAAACCTAGATGAGAATATAAAAGAATCAACGAAAGCTTTCCACTCGACTATATTTATCCAGTCTCAAACTGTTCTTTTTTTTTATATGTTTCCTTCTTTTTATGCAGTTTTTGTGCGGTCCAAAACGAGCGCGGTTTTCAGTTTTGAATCTAGGATGAAGCACGCTCGCCATGATTAGTCAATTTTAGCTTAGGGTTAGGAAAATGCGGGCCGTATTCTTTAGAGGAGACCGCTTCGTAAGTCCAGGGACGGCAAGAATTTCCTTTATTAAGGGCTGCCGCTATACAACGAACATCTCATAAAAATGTTTTCTTGTTCCTTACTGTGAAATGTGAAAACATGAAATTCCAGCAAAAGGTTCTCTTTTGTTATTCGATGTTATGAAATATGAATCTATCAGGCTCACAGCGGTAAGTTGCAACGCTAGAGAATTTATCACCAAAATATTATAAAACTTCAAGTGAACAACTGATTTAGCCAAATTGTTAATGAAATGTTCTGACATCAGTTTAGATGTAATCAGCTGCTGATATACTGTTATGATTGGTCGATTTTTTCCACTCCATTCGAAATGCAAACGTGACATTTTGTTGATTGCAACAGGAATTTTGAAAGCAAATATTACGAAAAGAAGGTGAAAGCTGCGTACACTTGGAAATAAGTGAACTTTTGAAAACGAGCTACCATTATTTTAAAGAGCATCTTAATAAACAATTGGTTCGTTTTCAAAATTAAGTTGATAAAGAAAGGTGAAACATCGTGGCGAATTTTGAAAAGCGAACCGGCGTTGCAAGAGTTGTTTGCTCTGACGACAGCTTCATAGAAACGTAAGAGCTGATAGCATTTAAAATTTGCCACAGAGTTTTATTTACCTTTATCAACTAGCAGTGGATAACCAACGCAGCAAAACCTCCTTCATTTGCTTCTTAGTAACTAGAGGTGTTGATAGCTAGGTATTTCAACTTTGCCGACAGACACTTTGTTGAGCTTGAGTGAATATAAATAAATTACTTTTACAACGACTTGCTTAAAGAAATTCTGCGCAGAAAGCACTCAGTAACATTGGTTAGAAAGGTGTAAAGTGGCTTGAATATTTCTTTCTCGTGGAATACAGATATTTCAGGTTGACTTGAACATATTTACACGCAGTGATAGCTATAACTGTTTTTTTTCACTGAATGATTTGTCAGTGCATAAATTACGGAGTGCACTATTGTAGTAAACACACTTTTGTCAAACTGCGTCGACGTGATTGGTTCATTGGAGAATGAAATTGATAGATCTTCAGTTCGTAATATTTAGTTTATCGGGTCTGCTTAGGGCTTGGGTGGTTTAAGGACAAATATTGCACAATCTAGGGGGTGAAAACCTTTGTATGGGTTTTAATCTAAATATTTCACGTTCGCAACGCTCTTCTGAGACCCATAAAATGACGAAAAGTTTGGTATGGTTTTGCTAAAGCTGTAATTACTGAGGAACCGAGGAATCCGAAGTCGAGAAGTTATATGATGGACTGATCGTCATATTAAGAAAAGAAAACAGACCGGTGAGTTCGGTGAATGTGTTCTCATTGAGACCGGAAGGTAATGAATTGATAGCTTTGAACTAAGAATTACTAAATTATGGCACAATTAGCAATCAAACTTCTTTGCCTTGCTAATTTTTCGTTACCCATCATTGCTTTTTCTTGTGTTTGTTCTACTCGTTTCCGGCTTTTGTTTGTTGTTGTTGTTGTTGTTGTTGTTGTTGTTGTTTTGACTCGTTTTGTTTTCATTGTGAGTGCCAAACGTTGGTCTATTTATGGCAGTGTGAGAGTTAATTGTAGTCCTCGACAAGCAAGCCCTCTGCTGGTCAATCGTTTAGGCGGTGATTCACAGCTTGAACTACGTTATCGTTCCCGAGATAGAATAGAGTTAGCACTCATCATAAAAAGGAATAATTTTAATGTTTAGTATCGATCGTGAGTTAAGCCAGCTTGAAGCATCCTGTGAATAATAATAAAAAAGGGTTTCTTGAACTGCTTAATCTCACTTGTTTTCAATTTCGAAAAGTGAATCTAAACCTTCTCAATTAGCCCAATTAAGCCGAGTTCTTTCTCGCTGGTAATGGGAGAAAAGAAGAGAAGTAGTCTTGAAAGTCATCTCGAGAATATGACCGTGAAAGTAACTTTAAAAGTCAGCGTTTCTTAAACTTTGATCCTTAATGTGACAGAGCCACACAAGGGCTGTGAAGGAGACTACTTGCAAGCGTGGTACCAATGCAGTTTATTTCTGCTCACAATTGTTCAGACAACAGACCACAAAATAGCTGTCTTAGATATTTCATAAAAATTGGAAAGGTCTTTTTGGCTCTCTATCGAACGATGTTTTTGTTGGAAACTATGAAAATTATTGCTCCTTTTCTTTTACAAAATTGAAAAAATCGGTGTCTCATCTCAACCCACACATCCAAAAGAATAACAGTTGCATGCGTGTCATGCCTATGTTGGCATTTATATCTTCCACCAGCTGTGCATTGAGGTGAGGTCGGGGAAAACAATGACATGAAGTGAATTTACGTGTTTTGCAATTGTCCCTTAAATTAATTTAACCTTGCCAAATACCTAAATTCTTCTCTTCGTAAATGCATTTACAAATTTAATTTCGAAAGACGCATTTTGGTGATGCTTTAATTTTTACTGTTGACACAACTAATTTTAATCGATGATTTCTAACGATAGTAGTTTTATGATTATTTACACGGTTCTTTTCCCTTTCACTGCACTTAAATGAGCCGGTTTATTTATTAATTCATGGCATGTTACGAGCCTTCTAACTAGTGGTGCACTTGACTGTGAAAGAGATGTCATTATTCGGCAATTTACACTGCCTAACCCGCCGTTACCGCTTGATAATGGAGAGTTTTTTCTCGCCAAGAATTCCTTTTGGTGACGAGAATCACATCTTCGCGAACATTTTCGATGAATGACGTCGAGGGAACAAATGACTAAATCGTTTTAGGCTATTGTTCCCAACAAATCGTCGATGTTATTGGAGGACAAATTTAATAATGGTTATCACGTGTAAACAGCACATATAGCGTTTTGTTCTCTTTTTCCGTTTTCATTTGACTACTAAGTTCGTCAGGTAAATATTAATTAGTAGCTGTTCGACTAAGTTCTTTATCTTGGTAGGAGGTGTGAGACAGTTTCCACATCGAGCCGCGTCGATCAAGTCATCTCTGTTGGCGAACAGGGCCGCGCGCTACCTGCATTCTTCTCGTTTGACAGAAGCCCAACCAACTCATATCATATTCAAAGGAAACAGGTTTCGTTAGGTAGGAGAACATTTATTTTGTGTGTTAATCATTATTACTCCTGAAAAGCTACAAAGGCTCTTCCTCTTCGTCTTAAGAAATCCAACAAGATGGTCAATGCTCTATGGAGAGGTGTGTTTTGAAGAGTATTCGATAAGGGTTTAATTTTTTTTGTTTGCCAGGATGAAAAATAAGTCACTGATGAGGTGTGATATCATCTTATTGAATCGTACAGAAAACGAAACTGTGTTAGTGTTGTTATCACAAATTTTAATTAATCATTCAAACGGCATGTTTTGTGCATTGTGAAAAACAAAATATGTTGTAAAACTACAAGAATAGTTTCATTCTTTCATTTCACACCTGATAAATTCATCTCGGTTCGATTTTACGACTTCGCTTTTAAACATTAAGTACTTTACGACCTCCTTTCGAATATCTTACCTCATTCATTCAAGAACCGGTTTCGTGTCGGTAAAACTCTCTTTAAAAACAGAAGACGAATTATGAAAGACCTCATAAATGATAAATGAAATCAAATATGTTTTATCATATTCTAATGCCCGGCGCTTTTTTTAGTCAAGTGTCATCAAAATTGGCCGTTAAAACGCTGCGCTGAAGAAAAACTCGTTTGAGAGGAATTATCATTTTCTTTTTAACAACAACAAATACACTAACAAATCGGCACAAAAACCATTAGGAAGTTCCATAGAGAGTTCTATATCCCATTAATTTCAGATCAGGAGCGGAATTTTACCCGTTTCTTCATAACATGCAAATTCTCAGTTTTAGGATATGAACTATATTTTTCCTGACGTTATATAACTCGTTAAACATAGGTCATAAAAGTTTCACCTGACAAAGTACATTAGAGAGAACATGATCACTATATTACATGGTTAGGGAGGCATTATATATCATAAAGTCCGTTTGGTTGAAAGGTGTTTTTAATCTTAATGTCTGTTTCTAAAGAGGATCGTTCCTTCTATCGATTCAATATTCTCCAGTTTTCCGTGAACGCCATGACTCGACTTAAGAAATAAGCGAGAAGTTTTTCAATTTTAGAAACGCATAATGTTATTCGGTTCTTTCAGACATTAGGGGGGAAAAAATCGAAAGCTATATTTGCAATTAAAATCATTCTTAATAATGTACTAATTTACTTTGAATTGGTTAAATTTTTGGGTGACTGCATCATTTTGGTATTCATGACTAAAGATTGTTTGGTGTCAAGAATAACGAAGGGTGATTAATTTCCTTTGAGCCATTTATTATCATGTATATGAACGTAGTGCTAATGTGTTTACATGGGACCTGAAAGGAAATCAAGGGTATTGTTTGATGTCTCTTTTTTCAATATTTCCGCGTTCATGTTGATTTTTATCGCTACGATGGCCTTGAATTCTTTATACGGACGGGAAGACTTAAAATAAACAAATGTTTAAAATCCGGACAGTATTGCGTTTGCGTCCTTTTAAGTACTATGGAAAATTCCGTCGCATACCCCCAACGAAAAGTTCTTACATAAACAAACAAGCAAAAATTACCAAACATTTATTTTTGGTTCAGTTTCCTTCGTTGCTATTAGACTTCTGGATCAAGATCTTTTAAATTAAATTATAGATAAGGTATTGCATAACACTTCAATCTTCCGTGCGAAGAGAAAAGCGCTTATGGTAGTATTTATGTTATGATCGGTGTTATGCTTATGTTATGATCGGTGTACGTGGCTTTTCCACTGCTTAGTTGCGCCGGAAAGTCTTTAGCAAAAGTTACGAACAGAGAAAGTTTTGTTGTTTCGCAAAATCAAACAAAGGCTTTTCCCAAAGAGGGATTTTCAACTGATTGTTAAAGTTATGAAACTGGGTTTCAAACCATGGAATTAACTATACACTTCCTGATAAGCAAATTTGTGTTGTTATTAATATACCCCTCACTGTTTTCAATTCTTTCCTGACATGATTAGGGAGAGTCTGTTGTGAACTTACACTTGCAATAAATTTTTCATGTGTTCTTCACTTCTGCAGGCGTGGGAGGTGGTCCAAGTAAACAAACGATTTTTTTCTTTTTTTTTTCTCAAACCTTTATCTTCATACTAAGTAAGACTTTGACTGACTTCGCAAATATCATTTCTGAAATCGTTTTGATCTGAAAAGAACATTACTAGATCTCAACTCGTTCAGTAACCGTCATAAGACATTTGCATTCTGCTTCTTTTAAATTTTTCCCCTGGAGGTTCATAGGATTGAATTTCTAAAATCAGCATAATGCAGTGTAGATAAAACTGAACTCGTTCAGCTTGTAACAAATATATCTTAAAAAAACCAACAGCAAAACTGTGATACTAACTGGCAGGACCTCGCCAGGTTGATTACTTAGTGCTGTGACGGACGTCCCAAGTTCGCTTGAAATAAATTAATGCAAGAATCCAATGTGCAGAGGCAGACGCCATTTTTAATTTCTGAAAGAGAGCTAATTTCACGAGTGTTTTTGTGTGATGGCCTCAATAAGTAGTTTGAATTCGATTCTGAATACAAACGTCGCAATCGTGAGTCAAACATCAAATTTCAGACTCACCGCGGTGAATTAAATTCATAATTTCTCTTAATTTGGATCTGACAGGTTGACTTCTACTCATAGGTCCATAAAAAGAGATTATAATCTCTTGGTCTGTAACCTTTATTTTACACTTGAATAACTTGTTATTTGGCAGAGGCTAAAAACGGTTGCTACAGAAAGAGCGCAACAAATCTTTTGAATTTCTCGTTTTTTGTTGCTCTGGTGCCTAGCGCCCTCAGGTCGTTTCTTTTTGTGTGGGGTCTTAGTCACCTGCGGAAGTTTCTAGGCCTCATAAAGAATCCTTGAATCCTTTTGAATTTTAGTTCGTAGTCAAGGTCGTTTTCTTCGCGGGGGAGTAGGGGAATAGGGGCCCAGTCACCTTCATATAAATTTTCTAAGACGTTTGTCTCGGTCGATTCTGAATACGAAGTTTTCTGAATTATTTTGTGGTCGTTTTGAGTCGTGATTTTGTACGTGAACGTGATCATGTAAGAAACGCGGGCACCAATACCGTGTTGATTTCAAGGGTGTGAGTTAGAGCGTGGGTCTTTTTTTTTTTTAGTTGACAGATGATAATTTTGAGTCATAAGGAATATTTCGTTAGCGCTAATTTCCTGTAACAAGCCCGTCGAGATCTTTAATATTTTCTTGTCGATCTTCAAAGAGGGATAGAAATGAAATCAACAGGAACTTTCTAAAAAAGCGTTTCACCATGTAAGAATGGTTAATTGCTGGAAAATTCAAGAATTAGTTTTAAAGTGTATGCAAATTAATCAAATAATAATGACTTATCATCTGACCCTGAAACATCGTATTGAACTTCTATTGGCAATTTTAAATAATCAACAAAGCATCAGTAACTCCAGACAGTTATTGGCGCATTATGCTATAACGTGCCCTCCCTTGTTGGTTTTGGTCACTGTGGAGAGAGACACCCTCGGAAGCCTTCTAATTTTCATGACTTTAAATTATTGGATTTTACAATGGATTTTCTTCACCCAGCAGGTGTATTTATTTTTCAATGACTGCAACGTCGTTTTTATCGATAGGTGTTTGAATTAGAAAATCAAGTAATTAATCATACGAAGTCTCTCATTGATTAACAGAACAGTTATCGTCAAAGAGTTTCCGCCGGTTTATGTGAAGATTGAAATCGAGCGCTTTACTTCTGTTGGACACCGAACGTGAGTAATTTCTTCTTTGAGAAAAAGGCACCGATCTGAGTGGGGGGGTGAATCAACACCTAAAACCTGAAAAAGTAGAGTGTGGGATCAATTTCATTTGTTTCGTTTACGGTTTATGCAATGTACAATGGTGTAAATAGTGCAGATATAAGCCGGAAAATACCGCGAGGAGAAACAATATGCGTTTAGAGGACTCTTTGTTTCGACGAAAAGAGTCTCAACAAAAAAAAAGTACAGAACGAGGGTTACGTCGTCGCTAAAATTGAAAAACGAATTTATTTAGGTCTCACTGATATTGACTGTTTCTCATTTGAAGCCCCAATCGTCTTAATCAGGTGATGTTTATATTTCTGGAATACGAAAGGTGTGTTTTAAGGAAGGCGGCGTGCCCTTCCCATATATTTCGTTTAAATTAATAGTGATGTTACTTTTCTTATATTTTGATATCTCTGATTCTGTGATGAAGGTAAAGGGTTTGCTAGTTTCGTAATCTAGACTGATAGTGAAGTAGTAAAAGCGAGTTAATGTTAATCATTTTATATTTCTCAAAATCATTTACGCTGACAGATGATGTGTCTGAATAAAAGTCTCTCAATTGTTTGAAAACTTGATCATTGCAAAGAATGGAAAGTCAGAACTTGTAAGGGTTTCTTTATTAAGCTATTATTTCTCTCTTACTGACTTAACCCTCGCTTACACGCACAAAAAAACCAAACGTGGTGACAAGTGTAAACGGACGTACAAGTGAATAACGCCCCCTGTGTGAAACCTGTCAATTCTGTGATGAACGCTTTTAAGGACGAAAAGCTTTACGCCACGGAAGGATTAAAAAATTTGAAGTTATGAGAAGCGTAAAATATCATCCAGGAGGGTAATTTTTTCTGCAAGAGTAGCTTTGTTTATCCTTAGACAAAAGCTCTTGCTCTCAATCACCTGCTTTTCGAAAAGGAATGTTTTACAGACAAAGATCATTTATTGTCGCTAGCGCCTATCGGCGAAATTACTTAGTTGACGGACTCGAGCCTTGATCTTTCGTGCAGGTGCTGAAAGGTTCAATCACGAAGGGGAGGAGGGGGAGGGAAAGAATAGGAGCGGGAGTAGAAGTGTCGAGTGTCTAGTGTGATAAGCTAGCTCAGCTTCAAAAGTAGTTGAAATACATTTTTAAAATTCCTCTTTTGGCTGCTTACTTCTGATTTAAGATTTGGTTGACAAGATAAGGTTCGCATCCTTGTCAGTGTTTTGAAACTTATTTGTCAATAATTATATCTTCATTAATTATGGAACATTCGGGCCAACTGAATTCGGTTATTATTCTTTTAAAACACCGCACAGTCTAAAATTAGTGCTTTTAACCCAAACACACTTTGTTAAAAGCTTATAGACATACAAATTCTTAACTTACCTAAAAATCGTTGTCGTTGTGGCTGGACTGACACAGTGATCCTGCATGCGTCCTCATTTTCATCAAACATTACTGTTTCTTACCGAAGTCAATTTTCGCACGAAAAATGAAGATTATTGTGGGACTACTAAATTGAAAAAGTAATTTTCTTAACTTGAACAGTGTAAGTCTTCACTGAAGATACTTACTGCAATGTTCCACGTTATAGACATGGCAAGGCTTACTCAAGGTGAGAATTAACTTTTTGAAAATGGTTTAATATTTTTTTCGTAACCAATCAAACAATGGGACCTGAAAATATATTTAAAGATCACGAGGAGCGAGAGAAATGGTTGATGCGTTCTAAAAACTTTGAAAGTGATGTTTGAGTGACTGTTGCAATGTTTTTTTTTAATTCTGCAAAAGAAATTCACCTTTTATGCACGCTAATTTCTAAACAGCAGCGTGCCGATTTCGCTCCTCTCAAATAACGTCAAAAAGGGTTCTCTGAAGAATGCAAGGTTCGATATACTTCTGGAAATCCAAGATATTCATATTTTAAGTAAGTCTCTAATTTAGTATCTTATTCTATCCTTTTCGGTGAAGAAAATTCGTGAATGAATGTTTGAATTAAATTAGCAGTTTGTCTACAGCGTCTGTTTATCTGGTTTGCCACATTTCACGAGTGATATGGGAATTTAGATCATATGAGTAAATTTTGTCATTACTATATCAAAATCAATTCCATTGTAAAATAACATCTCATCAGAAGAAGCTTTTTTTTAAAAAGCTTACGGGCGACTTTAACTTTTCAAAATTTTATTCGTGCTCTTAGCCCAGGCGGGAAAACGATTAGCCAATCACTTGTTGGATTTTAGTAGACCATAGAGGGGCTCTTTTCTCTTTTCAAATTCCAGAAGATATTATGGGATATAAGCTTTTAGAGTAAACACGCGGCTGTTCCTGATAAATTGCGTCGGCGATTGACGCACAATTTTCCATTAAATCCCTCTCTTTGGGAAAGTTACATTACAACGATTTTAATCTTTGCTAAAACATTACGTTAGTGTAAGTTCCTCATGTACGATCAATGCTATGAAAAGAAACTAATTTTTAACTGTTTGCTTTAAACTGATCACTCAGTACTTCCAAACAAGCTTTTTCTGAAGAAAATGTTATGCTTATTTGAACATAAATCATTTTTCTGCTTCAATACTTTATCAAACATTAAAACAAATTAGTAATTAATCCCTGAAAGGATAAGACTTCTATTGGTGTCTACTTAGTTGCGTTGTTTGAATAATTGATGTCGTCTTGTCTCAAGCATTTTAATTCGTCATGTATTCTCACAAAGCATCGAGGCCAGAACTTTCTATCTTTATTCATACAGTGTGCTAAGATTACCAGAATGTTCCTGCATACATATAAGCCGAATTACTGCGAAAAAATTGCCTACTCTAATCAAGAATCTATAAGGTCTCAGCTTGTTATCAATGATGCGATTCCAATTATCGTCTTCTACCATGGAAACGGAGCAATTTTCTTTTTATCTCTTGATTTGAAAACTTGAAACAAAGAACGAGAAAAGGCTTTTAAATTCGTCTACCAGTGTTACTGACTAAACACTCTATCTGAAAATGATTAGTTTCACTATTGTAGTACCTCAAGTGGAAGAAGTTTGAGAGAAAAAAACAAATGCTACTCTCTGACCGGCTTTAGCGAGGAAAAAACAAACTTGGTGAAAGAGAAATTTAAAAATTCAAAGGCATGTTCGATAGATTATATTGACGCAAAACGTTTGTCGAACAAAAAGAAAAACCTTTGATTCATTAGGTCTCTATTGGCATGTCAGTATATAATGTAAATTACGTACCATTAATCAAAATACGTATTGCCTCTTCATACCGCCACATATTTTGTGTGATGTTACCCATGTGAATTTAGAAGTAATCAAGACCTTACCACCGTTAGAGCCTATGGAGGTTTGGACTCTCAGCGTGAGGTAAAGACCAAGAAATAAATGGGGTAGGTTTCCAAGGAAACTTGAGCGCTGCGTCGCGGTATCATGCAAGATTATTTTGTTTAATCAACGAAGCTGATACTGTAAATTGGCCTCCGAAGAGAGTTCTTGAAGCCGACGTTTCTCGCATCAGCCATCCGTTAGATTGAATCAATAAAGCAGAGAGCCGAGAGGTGAATGAAAATGATCCGTTTTCGTCTCAACCACCGTATAAGCCAAAGATTTTCCCCACTCCCCCCACTCATGTTTCATCCGTCCTCTCTAATTTGTTTTAATCAGTTTAGCGTACCTTTATACTTCACTACTGGAAATCTCTGATTTAATGGTTGATTATGAAGTTCTCAGTTTACCGCGTCGGTCATAATCAATAGCTTTCGAATCATTAAATATTACTTTAGGCCGACGAAACGGCATAAAAAAGGACCGCTTTCATTTAATATGTTACACTACCATCAACAAGGAATTTGGGAAATATTTTTCGTCGGTATTTATTTAAAAACGTTTTGATGATTCTCTAAACTGGTTGATTTATAAATTTAATTGAAATGAGCGGAGTGCAATATGCACTGAAATAACAAGTAGGATTTCAGATGAAAATCGCACTCATCCTTTTTGAAATCGCAAATTTAATATGCCAAATAAAGGATTTTAGTCAGAACAAATATTTTATTGATCTAACACTTAGCCGAGGAAAAAAGTTGAAAAATTCGCAATTTGATTGCTTACTTTAAATAAGCCTTGAAATCTGATTGGCGGTTTTATTTTAGTGTTGCTTTCTTATTGGCTGGAAAAAGATGCAAGTTAGAGCAAAAAAATACAATTCATAAATAAATCACACTGCTGAGAGCTAATCAGATTGTATGCATCACAAGTACTTTCAAAATAGATGTAATAAATCAAGAAATTCACCTTATCAGATGTTGTCTCAGCCTTGTTTTCCACTTTTATTGAACAACTTTTATTGAGGCACACAATCTGAGGAAAAGTTACTCTGGAGAGGCTTGTTTGCGTTATTTTTGCATTGCTGTTATACAACTTTTAAGAGTCTTAAGTTTCGATAAACCATGTTTAAATTGAAGTTCGTCTTTAAAAAAATATCGATACAAATAAATATTCCCACACAGTATTTTTCCCTTTTTTTTCTGAAAAGCATTTGGATTATACTTTGAGTCCGACTCTGCTACCGAATTATAATCTATGGCAAAGAACATTCTGGAATGAGAATTATTCTTCGGCATTTATTATCCGAAAGAAATAAAATTACGCCGCTTAGACGTTGTGAGTTTCTCAGGGGGTATGAAACGAATTAACGAAGAGCACTTAATACAACCTGGAATTAAAAACTGGATTGATAAGGTAAAATTAAAAGCACAAATTTCCTTTTTTTGGTGCGTTTTATTCAGGAATTTAACATTATTTTATTCAAAACTGCAGCTGTTTTCATAACCGAGATAGTTACCTGGTTTGTGCGCATCAAGGCAAAATAATAAGATTAAATGTTGTTTTTCTTTAACCAGGAAGTATCATTACATGTTGAACTTGATTCATGGTCAAGTTCAAATAAGGCCAAAAAACTTTCCTCGAGCTTTTTTGTTTAATTATTCAATGTCAATATTAAGACCGATATCGAGAAAGAAAAACATACAGAAATAGAGCTTTCTCACCGACAAAAAACGACCGGCTCATTGAATGCTCTGTAATTAAATGTTACGACCCACAATTCAGAGCACGATCATCGTGGTTCATGTCATCAGTTGGCGATTCTTCTTCCATGATTTAAATTAGTTACACTGAGTTCGTTTTCCAGTGTCAAATAATTTTTCACCGGCGCTGCTGATTGACTCTGAAAGTGTGAAACTTATTTTTCATTTTACCATTACCATTTACATCTCAATGGAATCATAGAGATAACAACTTTGTTATTGAAACAGAGAATTTTGAGCAGTCAAAGGGTTGATTGCTTATGTCGAAGTCTAGACCATCCCGTGGAGAAAACTTATTATTATGTAAATGGCTGGTATAAGAAGTAAACTCAATTTAATTTTGCTCTTTCGAAGGCAAGGTGCTTGGTTGGTGAAAACTTGTGCTTCAATTAATCAGCTATTGATGGTGGAACTGAAAAACGAAACAGGTATGTTTTCTTCTCGAGGCTTCTTGCCCATTTTTCCCCGCAAGTTTTCGCTGTAAATTAAAAAGAAATCATTACAATTTTGATTTCTCAACTGCGTGGTAAGAGTTTTTTCTAACACAGTGTAGAACCCGATTACTATTCTAGTTTCTGTGAAGCTAAGTTCATCTGACCACTTGGTGTAAAATGTCACATCAAATTTCAGCGTAGTCAATAGAGGTGTTCAAAATCTTTTGCTCAATAGGAACTTGTGGTGCTAGTTTATGGAATTTATGTACCGGCCTGGAGCGGTGAGTTTCACGAGAACGAAATATGATACACAGGAATGCTATTTACGGAAATTTATGTAAAGTAATCTTTATTTACGAAAAGGATGAAAAAGTTTTCAATTTAACTGAAACGGTTTTTGTTTCATATTTTTCTTTTATTTCGCAGAATTTTCCATGGCTTCTAACATGACACAAAATAACACCATCTCGCCACCTGGTGAGGGAGTCGTAGTCCCGCGAGACATTCAGGTTGGAGTCACAGTGGTCGCAGTCACAACTTTTATCCTGGCAGGAATTGGTAACTCGCTAGTGATCTACATCGTATGTACAGTCAACCAGATGAAGAGCTCAACAAACACTCTCATTGCCAATATGGCTGTTGCAGATCTTCTCATGACCATTGACATTCCTTATATACTCAAATGGGTGTACGTGTGGAATGGTTGGTTTGGTACATTTATGGGCACCGCCTTGTGCAAGTTCTTTCACTCAGCTCAAGTTGGTTCCTTGGCTGCTTCAGTGTTTAGTTTGGTGGCGATTTCTTTAGATCGCAGTTTTGGTATTTTATTTCCAATGAGAACCATAATGACCAGGAATGTTGTGCGTTTTGCAATCGCCGCGATTTGGCTCGGCGCACTGGCCTTGTCCATTCCGATTATGCTAGTGGTCAAGAACACCAAAGATGAAGGAACGGGAAATATGATCTGCGACGAGAATTGGCCGCCCATATCACATAAAACCTACGCATGGTTTCTATTCACAACTTCCTACATCATTCCAATTTTGATCATTGCGGTAGTCTACTTCTTAGCGGGGATGCGCCTTTGGAGCAGGAAACTCCCAGGTCATCGCACGTTAATGTCGCACAAGAAAGCTCAAGCGTCCAGCAGACGCGCCACAGTTATGTTGATAACAGTGGTTATCGTTTTTGCTCTTTCTTGGTTTCCATTTCAAGCCTTGGAAATCATAAGATTTATCGATCCGAAAATATTAACCAACTTTACAGTCCCAATGGCGGTTTGGTATGTCATTCCGTGGTTTGGTTACTGTAACAGTGCCGTCAATCCAATTATTTATGTGATCTTCTCGGAGAATTACCGTCACGAATTTTATCGAATCCTCTGCAGGGGACCAAGCCGCAAGGAGCGTTACAGGAAGACTATTGTATACAGCCGCAGCGCAACTCGCACGACACGCTTATCAAGAGCTAGCTCATTGGCAGTCAGTATTCCTCTTCAGAAGTTGAGAGAAGAAGCTGACCATAGAAGAGGGAGTCCAGAGACGCCGTGAGTCCAGTCCAAACTATTTAAATATCAGGCCTTTGCAAAAAGTTCTCCTGAACTGGGGAAGAAAAGGCACCAAAATTACTCAAACATTTCTCAGCCGTTATGTTCGTTTTTGCTTCACCTTTCTTTTAGCAAGCTTTGTGCTTGATGTAATTTTCAGGAAGAATTTCCTACAAAAAAAACTCTGACCTCTTTCTGACTGCTTTCGTTTTCCTGTTGGGTTTCGTTCCTTTTCTTCTTCTTTTCAGATTTCTTTGACTGAATCAGCGCAACTTGATATATTCAAAGAGCACGTTTTGCGCCAACTTTTTATTAGTTTTAATTTTACCATTGTTCTGATATTTTCACCCTGTAATTTATTGCGTTGAGAGTGGCACGGTTTCTTTCAACTATAACCCGTTTTAGTTATAGAAAACAGCAGTGATATGTCTCTGTGATATTACTGTGGTAACTGGATCTGACAGATGTTTTGCAGTACTTTACCTTACTATAATATCGTACCAGAGGTACTACTACGAGTATGGCCGACGTCGGCCGACGTATACTGAAATCGTTTGTTGTTACTGCCTCAATTGCCAACGGGTAATGGTCAACTCAAACGCTACTTTTTACCACCATTCAACGTTAAATTGTTTCGTAGGTAAGACTCGTGCCGTGGGGAGTATTTAGGTCAATTTTTGCTGGATATGTACCTCTGTTCTCTTAGAACCCCTAACCCACCATAGTCGATTGTTTGGCCAATTATAATATCCGTCTTAGTCATTTTTGGTCACACGGTAACAACTTTTTAACCTCGAATGTTCCCGTTTTAAATATTAACTTACCAGAATTTTCTTACCCCCAAAATCCAAAAATGTACGACCCCACTAAAGTGCTACCCCGTTATAGACAGTCGTTAAAATGTGACCACATCCACATCCCCTTCAGCTTTTTACAAGGAAGTAAACGCCCTCTCCCGAGGACTTGTGCTTGTTGCACCTGTAATCATCAACCATCAATGGTTCTTATGAGAAATTAGGAGACTTATGTGAGCATCAAATGGAAATAAAATGATTTAATTACAATAGCAGTAAGGATAAAACATTTCCTGTAGATTAAAAATATTTCAAACAATTTGGACTTCGAAACAGTTTACTACGAAGAAAGCGAATAAATTGAAACGATGACGAAAATCTGCACAAGGAAGACTTATAGATAATGCACAAGGAAACGACTATACCACCTTTGTACTTTTATTATGATCTTAGAAACATTTCATTTTAACTGTAAATAAGTGAAAATTCCATGACACTAAATTTGCATTGTCAACACTAGTATATTTCCACGATAAGGCAAATAACGTGTGTTCTTTTGAACTTAATAAAGAGTTCTTTGCAATCTCACGTACATCTGTCCGTTAGTTACGTGTCTATGTGCTTTACTGCTGTATGTGACCTTTATCACTTACCATTCAATTATTGCGAATGTCAAAAGGAGCAAACTTTTAAGACTATTCAAACGTGGTTAAAATTTGCTTTTTGGTAACTTAATCGTCAAGCCCATGTTATGCCACGCAGGTTCTTTCCCTATCTGGTTATTTTCTCGAAACTCTAGTAATGAATCTTTCAAAGACCACAAAGTTATGACAGGTGACCCTCTCCGCTTTATATTAATTAAGGAGTGCTGGAATAAAACGATTTCATTAGATCAAAAGGGAATGAGTGATGGATAATTAGAAAAAAGAAAATCCTGCAAATTCAGACCTTGTGGTCAGTTCAGAACACAGGGCACAGTACACGGCCATACGGGTGAGGTCTACCGAAGCCACCGCAGGTCACCTCTCAAAGCCTTGCAAAACTTTAAGATAACAATGACTGAAAACGACACTACATAACTTCTTAATTTCTTCAATTTTTATATTTCATTTGCGGGCTCAAAACAAGAGCCATTTTCCTTGAAAACTACTCAGTACGTGTCAGGAATTGTCAAAGGCGCTTTGGTAAAATAATTCAAACTAACGATCTATTCACAGTCTCACGTTTTCGCAGTCAGTTAATGTGGTACTCTAAGTTATGAAGTTATGAAGTTATGATAAAGATCACATAAAGTCTGGTGCTGCATGAAAACGAGTTTCGAAACATTTCAGGATTCCTTTATCAGTTGCTTGCGAGTACCTGTTGTGATTGCGAAGCAGGCTGATCAATAAAAGAGAGTTTTCTCTGGTGTCAGCCATCGTTAATGGTCTGTGCGGCGGGCGTAAAGAGCGATTCTAAAGGATGCTTCGAGAATAATGCTTAAAACAACACATCCGCAGATTATCTCCACAATAGATCCGTTATGATGAAAAGCTCACTATGGCCGACTGTCCGTGACTTTTTGGAGACCAACTATGGCTCTATCAAACATACTCGGTATGTTTATAAATTGAATAGGACCCTATCCAGATGCCAGAAATGGACAGAAATATAGACACAAACGTTTTATTCGGATCGTTCGCAGCTCGTTACAAAAGATGGTGCTTAACTCAGGTGAAGGAAGGTTTGATACAAGCTATATCGAGCGCGCTTAAGTTATACTTACATGTATCATATTACCGCTTTGGCACATAATGTATGACAGCTGTCAATCTCCAAGTTGCATACTTTTCTTTTTAATCATTTTCATATTACTTGAACTTACTCATGCAGATTTACTAAATTAATCACATAGACATCGACATGTTTATACTGCAGCTAAACACGTACACTACCACAGAGCAACAAACAGTAAATTAAAGAGATGTACAAATATCAAACCAAATTTTTGGCCAGAATTTACGAACTGGGCATCCAATAATTTTAAAGAAGGCAAATAATAATTACAAATAATAGATAAACGAAGTGGTTTTTTTTCCAAAAAGTGAGCATCCATAAAACGCCTGGACGCCCATCTGGCTAAACCGTAGTCCAAACTTAATGATTCCTTGCTAGTATCCTACAACATCAAATCAAAACAGACTTTCTCCGAGGTTTTCACGAAATTATAAATTCTCATCCTCAGGCTGTATAAGGTTACTAAGCAACAGTGTATGCAATAAAGAATATGGAAAATAGTGCCATTTGCGTAATGTTCTTACTCTTTAGGTAATATCATCATACAATAAAGCTTACACTGACTTATTTCCAGCTTCTCTCATGTATTTAAAAAACTTTGTTTAAACAGTACCTACGAAGGTCCTGCTATTGGAACCTTCTTCATTAAACTGTTGTTTTAAAAGGCTTGTAATATTCTTCATCAAAGGTGAAAGACATGGAAAGCTCACATACAATTTACATGGATTGATGTGCTCCTACCTTCAGGAATAACTATTATTAAAAAAAAGTTTTTGGCACGTGGATGCTCAATATTTCCCACATTTGAGTGCCATATTTGAGCTGAAAGCATAAAAAAAAGTAAAGATTACCAGAATCATGGTGCCTGAGTGAGTTTAGTAGATGAGGGTGTCATGTAACATAAAGAATTCATCACCACATAATTATGAAAATATGAGCTACGAGAATGATGAAAAACCTACCGCATAGACTTCTTGTAAAAGTAAAAGCTAACATCGTACCTAATACCGCGAGCACCCAATATAATGGAATACCACCGAGTGTAATAAAAAGATGACCACAAACGTTAAAACTAACAAATATTCTTAAAAACATTCATAAGACAATGTAATCAAGTAGTACAGAGCAGTAATGGCGTTCCATCATTGTCGGTTTTGCAATTAAACACTTTCGACTAATTAAAACTTCTTTCAATTAACTATATACTGGGACGATTTCCATGACAGTGACAGCTTTAAAGATTATCATAACTTGAATGAAATAGTTAAGCATCTGATGCTCTGCATAACTTTAAGGATGCTATACCACGGTTTTCCGATCATCACCGCTTTAAGTGAAACTGTGGTAGAGAAGCCACATAAAGAAGCTTTTGGCATTGCTTTCCTCTCAAGGACTGAAGAGCACACCTCAAGAAATACTTTAAAAATCTGAAGGTGCATAAAAATTTATTTCTTTAACATCTGTAAAAACTGCTTTAACCAACTTCCTTTGGTAAATTTCGGGCCCAAATTCATATACGACGGCGAAACTCATTACGCCGGTGAAGACATCAAATTGAACGACTTTTTTATATATTTACCCGCAAATGAGACTGGTTGCTATTCTGTTACCTACAGTATCCCAAACTTCTATATGCGGGTTTTAGAAAGAGGAAATCAAAGGTAAATTTGAGAGCAACAACCATGTATGAGGATGAGAAATCGAACTGATGGTTATCAAAGGAGTTTCACTGACTGACAGGTAAAGATTGTTCCCCTTCTGAAAATGCAGTTGAGTTTGATTCAAGTTCCTTGACATCTATTTACATGTGTTGGCACTTAGAAGCAATCTCGTTTTTAGGGGTGTGAATTTTCTGCTTTACAGCTAACAAAAAGATTTGAAGTGTTACTAAATTCGTAGAAAAAGAAAAAAAAAGTTACAAGTGTGTGTGCGAGTGTGTTTCATTTCCCTTTTCTATTCAAAGGGTGAAATTTGGAAAGATGTTTGATTAAATATTAGCATAAATTAAAGACACGGAAAGATTTCCACCCAAGATAATTTTTACAACGCATTAATCGAGTGTCATTAAGGAAAAGGTTTGAGGAAAAAGACCTCGATGCAAATTGGAAATAACGAAAAATTGCACCTTTCTTTCTACATTCATAAACTAAGTTTGGGGAGCAAAGCGGATGAAGAAGTAAGTGGACCATATGATTTTCAAATTGTCTGTATTTGTGCTCGTGTGAACAAGTCTCCCAGAAGTTTACCTTTTTTAAATGTTACAAAAAATTGAATTGCTAAACCTTCATCTTTATGCCCGAGAAGGTGCATTTTGCTTCACTAATTATTCTCGTCACCTGCTGATTAAGCGAGCAGGTATTCAGCTCAAGGAGAGCAGAATCTGAGAATGAAAATGACAACGACAAATGAAGAACAACATGGATGGCAACAGTAAAAAGTGGGGTGCCATTCAGTATGATTAGAACTACCACAAGTAGGCCATTAAACTTAGCCGCAATAAAAAGCCTTTTGGGTGGTTTTGAAAATTTATATATCTCCGCAAAAGGTGACCTAATTAGTTTTTCATTCACTCTTTATCCAGAGACCTAATAAGGAAATACAAGCGCTTGAATCTGTCAGCCGAAAATGAAAGACCTAATGAACAATACAGGTAGGGTGCTTTCCCTCCGTCAAACTTAAACCGTCTAAAGTTGCAAGTAAAGATTAACTCCCGATGACTATGCAAATTCTCAAGAATACATTTAAACTAGTTCAGTGAAAAAGAGTGTGTCGATCATACGACAAGTGTTTGGCTTAATGATAATTCTGATACTAGAATAATTAACCTGTCCAAATGAGAGGACCTTGAGCTCTGACCCTGAGACGGCGTTTCAGTAGATCATATGAGAAACAAACAAAAGTTAAGGGGCCAGTTGTATAAAGGGCGTATAACGCCATCCAATGGAGAAGTTGCTATCCCGCGGATAAGTGATAGCAAAACATAAAGCGTTATCCACCGTATAGAGATTTATCCAATGGATGCCGTTATCCAACCTTCAAACAACCAGGGCCTGTATTGTAGTTTCTATTTAAGTGATCCCTGTAGACAAGGATTGATTGTCTATTTAAGAGAGCAAATTGGTTAACTTCATACTCTCGAATTTATAGAATATCCTTCGCTCAACTCGTACCTTAATATTTGGTTCATTACCAATTAGAGATACGAACAATTCTCCAAATACGCATTATAAATAACCAGGGGCGGAAAAAGAGTACGGAGTTATGACGAGCCCTTCCTCCTCATATTACACAGCAAGACTCACTACTACAATCTCATTCAACAATTCTGTTTTTTTAAGAAACCACGTTTTTAAGGCTATTTGACCCATCTTGGCCGGTGATCACTTTTTCGACAAAATGTTTTCCCGAAAATTTTGGAGGAAATGACTGAGTATTTCAAGGCATTTTTATATTCAAGAAACTGAGCCTCATCAATATGTCAGTTAACCGGAATGATCAACGACAAAAATAACGATAATTATACTTCAAGTGGATCACCTCAATTAGGCCCCTTAAAGGATTATTTCTTTCTCAGACTTAGCCTTACCTCAGAGTTCTGTTTATAACTCACCAATCGTGCGCTAGAAAGGTCTTGTAGATTATCTTCTACTGCGTGACTGAAAATCAGTGCTCAATGACTAAAATTTGTCAAGGCTAAAGACTTGACTCGACGTTCCGACTGCGGAAACCTATTTCGTAAGTTAAATCTTTGCCTTGTTCTATAGGACCTGCTGGTGCCTCCAACATGACGTACAATTCCACCGAGGCGCCAC